CAAAATCCCGACACACCTGAACTTCATCATGGCCATGGCCCACGGGCAATAATACAAGGTTATCACGCCGAGCTGCGCGGTTGCCACCACCCCTCAGCGGTAAGCTGTTTTGCTCCGTGTGCACAGTGCCTGAGAGATATGTCTCCCAGTGCGAGCCTATCGGTTGGATTCAAGTCAATGGCCCAACATCCAGCACCAGAAAACGTGGACAGCAAACGAAGCTTCTGCTATTACCACGCCCCCACCTTGATATCCTGGTCAGGTCCACAGAGACCAGGCATCTTGTTCTGGTGGTAGCCCGGCCTAAGCTGGCTGGCTGAGTTGTGAACGATTGAGTCTATTGACATCCTCGGCCATATGGTGTTGACATTTTCCTTTGTTTGGTTTCACCCTGATATCCGGTGCCACAACTGCGCTTTCCTCAACTCGCTGCAACGCTGGAGTTTTTTTCGGGGGGAGGATGCTCCCCTTGCCAAGGATGTATGTAGGGTTGGCTTGAGTTCTCGAACCCAAACTGCCCTGTTGCATTGCCGCTTTCTTTAAAATACCTTTGGTCGCCCCACCCCTATCCTTGCTGTTTCCTGGCTCTGCAAGTCCGGGGTCAGGGTAGCCTAATGTATCAAGCGGGTGTGTCACTGTCCTTCTGTCGTACCGCCGTCCCAGATTCCTAAATACCAACTGTAGTACTCTCATATCCACCTCATACATACCCTTGCCCAGAGATCTCTCTTTCTTCTTTTGCCAGTAAACTTTATCGTTCGTTTCACTCTCCAAGCTCACTGGGTACCTTCCATTCGTTGTTCCGCCGGTCTAATCGCTTTAATCATTGGCGATACGACTTGACGGCATTGACGGTCAACCAGGCTAGTTGCGCGGTCCTCGGGGCTGCACGTCCGCCTCAGACTGTCAAGCCGCTTGTTCAGCCCAGTGTCGTTTCAAGTGATTGCCCTGCGCATCCAAATCCATACCTCCATTTAGCTGGTATGCGATATATACCACGACAGTCACAAGATTTCTCTTCCTCCTAGTCTCAGCAACTGACTTCTTGTTGCACTCCTTCCCTCTGTAGTCTTCCTACTTCAGAGCAATCCATCCCTCAAGTTTCCTTCAATCACAGTCGGATATAAAGCTTTTGGAACATCACTGCAGCACACCAAGACTCCCAGTCAACCGGGAAGCATCATGGGTTTGAGCAGTTACTTCAAGGCTAGCAAGCCCGAGGAAGCCCCTCCACCGAGCGATCCTCCAAGGCCACAGAGGAAGCAACAGCCGGTGATGTCTGAGAAGCTGCCGGCGCCCGCGATTCCCGCTGGCACCGAGATGGATCTTCAACCACCCACCCCAAGGCTTCAATCTCGGCCGCACTCTCTCTCGGCTCAGTCAGTTCGCTCTAATAGAAGCTCAGTATTCATGGACGATATCAAGCACGAGGTCATGGTCAACTACCTCTATCAACAGCAATGTTCGCAACTCTGGGTAAGTGACGGCTCGGGAGAGATTGAGGGCGTTCTTTTACGAAAGACAAGAGGCCACTACATGGCATGTCCTCCGCAGCTGGCAGGAACTCCGTTCGCCATGGCCTGCGCTGCCCTCAACGTTCAGGTGAGTCGGTTGCATATCTCCTTTCTTGACGTCCCATTCCACGAATCTAACCCCGGGTTTTAGTGCGCCATGACGGTGAACTCTCGTGTCATCAGAACGTTTCTACAATTCTCCCCCGAGGCTGTAGATGTCCCTTTGATGAACGGCTTGCGAGTCCAAATCCTTCCCACCATTGAAGATCTCGTCCGCGCCAGAAAGCATCAGTTCGCCGCCTTCGTTGCGTCAGAGGGGCTTCTGGTCGTCTGGGATGATGACGCATTGCATCTTGTCCCTCGAGCCAAGGCCATTGAGTCAGAACTCATGGAATTGGTGTGGAAATCCGGTGGCACCGACGAGGAAACGGATGAGAAAAACGGAGGGGTCGAAACAGAGGCCATCGAGATTGATGAAGAGAGTGGCGAGATCAAACCAGATCAACGACCCATTCACCTGCAAAACAGTATCCTCGTTGCCATTACCCTGGCTCTGGTCATTACTGCTCTGGGTGCCGCTTGGAGACAGCTTGCAATCGAGGTTTCGATCGATAATGATTTCACTCGTTTGGGTCTCGTTGCACTCTTCCCAGTACAAGTCTTCTTCACCTTGTTCTTCGCCCAAGTCATCGTCGGTTGCCTGGCTCAGATCTTTGGCCCCATTCGCCAACTGACGATCAACTCAAAGTTCTATTCGGCTCGCCCACCACGTCGGTTGCAAAGTGATGTTCTACCCCACGTCACCATTCAGTGTCCAGTATACAAGGAGGGTCTCCAGGGTGTCATTATCCCAACCGTGAAATCAATCAAGCAGGCCATCTCCACCTATGAACTTCAGGGAGGCTCCGCCAATATGTTCATCAATGATGACGGTCTCCAGTTGATTTCGGAGGAGGAACGCCGGGCCCGTATTGATTTCTATGCAGATAATAGCATCGGTTGGGTGGCTCGACCCAAGCATGGCGAGAACGGGTTCCAACGCAAAGGAAAGTTCAAAAAGGCCTCGAACATGAACTTCGCCCTTATGGTCTCCTGCAAGGTTGAGGAAAAGCTACAGGCCATCAACAGAAACCCAGAGTGGAATCAGTATGATGAAGCCCAAGCATACGAAACAGCCCTGAAAGAGGTCCTCGAGGAAGATGGCCGCGCCTGGGCTGATGGCAACGTACGCGTCGGTGATTATATTCTGCTTATCGACTCCGATACCAGAGTGCCCGCCGACTGCCTGCTCGACGCCGTCTCAGAGATGGAACAAGCTCCCGATGTCGGCATTATGCAGTTCTCCTCCGGCGTCATGCAGGTGGTACACACCTATTTTGAGAACGGAATCACCTTCTTCACGAATCTCATTTATACCGCCATCCGTTACACCGTCTCCAACGGCGATGTTGCTCCATTTGTTGGCCATAACGCTATTCTTCGCTGGTCAGCCATCCAACAAGTGTCGTACCAGGATGAAGATGGTTATGATAAGTTCTGGTCAGAGAGCCATGTGTCAGAAGATTTCGACATGTCGCTGCGCCTCCAGTGCAGTGGGTACATCATCCGACTGGCAGCCTGGGCTGGCGAGGGATTCAAAGAAGGAGTGTCGCTGACAGTGTATGACGAGCTGGCACGATGGGAAAAGTATGCCTATGGATGCAATGAGCTGCTCTTTCACCCGATTCGCACCTGGCTTTGGCGTGGTCCCTTCACCCCTCTCTTCCGCCGTTTCCTCTTCTCCAACATTCGTTTCACCTCCAAGATCACCATCATCTCGTACATCGGAACATATTATGCTATCGGCGCCGCGTGGATTATGACAGCAGCCAACTACTTCCTCATGGGGTGGTTCAATGGACATCTCGATAAATACTATATCGATTCGTGGCAGGTTTGGTTCTCGATCATCATCGTCTTTAACGGCCTGGGTAATGTCGCATTAGCCATCATGCGATATCGAATTGGCGAGCGCAACATCCTGTATTCGCTGTTCGAGAACTTCAAGTGGACCTTGATGCTGGCAATCTTCCTAGGCGGTCTCTCGCTGCATGTCAGCCAGGCCTTGCTGTCGCACATGTTCGAGATCAACATGACTTGGGGCGCAACAAGCAAAGAAGCCGAATTTTCTAATTTCTTCATTGAGATTCCAAAAGTGTTGAAGAAGGTAAGCTTAGATTACACTCTCATTTTTCTTGTTTAGCCCCTCCCTTTGTTTCCTTCCCCCCCCCTCCCTGTTATTGATCAGCTCTGGGTTGGTGTGGCGGGTGAGAACCAATAGTCTCATCTCCCTCCTCGCGCTGATACCAACCACATGACCACACATGCCGAAATGGAAGCCAAAAACGGCCAGAAGCCACAAGGCATGCACCTTGCTATGGCCATACCTAAACCACCTCTGCTCTTCCGGCTCATCTTATACAAAGAACACGCGCTAACCTATTATGTCCTCTCTCTAGTTCAAATTCTCTATGATCTTTGCCCTCATTTTTGTTGTCGGCATGGTTATTCTTGCGGTTGCACCTTTTGTCCCCCACGATTGGCGCATCACCGACTTTGTCGCCATTTTGCCAATGGCGACGGTGGCGGCGAGCCACTTCCTGCTGCCCATCGCACTAAACCCAGCACTGATGACATTCTCATGGTAATTCTAATTCAGTCTTTACTACATACCGCATGAGACACATCAGCCATGACTGGACCATTCTTTAATTCTGCTCTGTCAGAAGAGCATGTACCCTCCTTCCATTTGAATCATCGTATTCAGCTGAGAAAGGGGGTCATTTATGATGCGAGCCAATTACTCGGATGAGAGTAATTGATACTCCAAGGGAAATAAACACACAAATTTACGACTTTCACGAATCACTGGTTGGATAGAGGCTTGGATCTATTGTTGGGTATGCTGCATTTCACGTAATTTCTTAATCGTATTGGGTTACCTAGCTAGAGATAGAAATGGACAGGACAGGAGCCTGTTCATCGTACAAGGCAGGAAACGGTTTTGCTGTTGGTAAACGACGTTAAACAGGAACAAAAATGAATTCTAAATATGAATCACAGAGGTCCAAAAAAGTGCAACAATGATGAAATAAAAGAGCATTGAAATGCTGTTGTATTCTAAAATTCTACCCACAAACGCCTCTATACCGAATAAAAAGGAAAAATTCCCATCAGATGCGAACATCTCAAGTCTAACATCTTCGCTGTGGCCATGCCCAGAAGACAACGTCTATGAAGCAGCAAAATGCAAAAAGGAGGCTGGCCATGTTACCTTTGTTCTTCCATCATCCCATGCAACGCAACATTGTAGGAAAGTGTGGATGCAAGAGCGCGCTCTACCCAGTAGACCACCGCCCATGCTCCGTTTCCCTTATCTCATCACCATTTTATGTTTCTTCGATCTCCCAGCCGTGAGACATGGGGATCTGTTTCCACCACGACCATCTACTCGTCATCATCCGTGTCCGGGGGGTGGGGGGTTCCCTTGGGGCTGTTGAGCCACTCAATGTGGCGCAGACGTCTTCTAACCTCACGCTCCTTCACCTCCTTCTTGGTCATCTTCTTCTTCTTTCTGGCCTTGAACTTCATGTCGGTGTTGTCCTCGACACCCGAGTTGACGGCGGATGAGACGACTGAGTTGGCGGCGGTGCTGACAGCAGTGCTGGTCACGCCACTGCCGGGGCGGGAGTCCTCGAATCGGTCGAGGCTGACAGCGGCGTTGCCGCGCTGGGCGACGCGACCGTCGTTGACGTGCCACTGCTCGGAGCAGAGAGCGCCCACGAACTCTTCGTTGTGAGAAATCAGGATAACACCACCCTTGAACTCGCGGATAGCAACTGCCAGACCACCGAGAGAGTCACGGTCCAAGAAGTTGGTAGGTTCGTCAAGCACGAGCAGATGGGGGTTGTTCCACATGGCACCGGCGATGACGACCTTGACCTTCTGACCACCAGAGAGCGATCCGATCTCGTTGTGGTTGGCAATCTCAGGGTCGAGACCCAGGTCCTCAAAGTGCTTGGAGATGACGGACGGCTGGAGCTCACGGTAGCCCAGACCCTCGCGGGATGCTTCGTGGTCGTCGAATTCCTGGACAAGCTTATCGAATCCAAGTTCACCGAGGGTTTCGCGAGAGATCATTGTGTTGTGCTTTGGCATGAGACCGCGCCATTTGCTGTTTGATTCAAGTTAGCACTTCTGCTCTGATATTGAACAACAGAATGTTCAAGGGGGTAATATCTTACACTTCATATTGGAAAGTCTTCTTGTACTTCTGACGACCAACAAGAGCCTCGATCTGTCGAGGAGATCTTCCATCCTTGAGATCAACAAATTTATCCATCTGCTCGCGATCGGCATCAGAGAGGACACGAGTCTGCTTCATGTGGACTTCACGATCATCACCGTGGGCGTAACGCCACTGAAGGTACTGGTTAGGTGTCTTCTCCAAATGCATCTCCACGTGCTCAAGGGCGTGCTGCTTGATGTATCCGATACGGAGATTGGGGTGCTTCTCAACCTTGCCAGTGTTGGGGATCGTCTCGCCAGTGAGCAATTTAATGAGGGTGGATTTACCCGCACCGTTGGGTCCAATAATGGCCACCCGGGATGACAGAGTAAGCTGGCACGAAACTTCGTGGAGTGAGGGCTTTGGTGCACCGGGGTATGTGTATGAGACATTGGACATGCGGATGATGGCCCTGGTCATCGACTTAACACCAGTCAAGATACCTGGAGGTGGGAACTTGAACTGGGCATTGGCAGCTGTGAGGGTGTAGTAGCTCTTGGCTTCGGGCCTGACCTCAACAAAGGCGGCCAGGTTGCCCTTGAAGCAAGCCAGCTTCTTGTTAGGTTCGTAGTGGTAGATGTCAGTGGTGACATTGTCCAAGAAACCCGAGTCGTGAGAAACAATCAAACTCGTGATATCAGGGTGAGTCTTGAGATAGTTCTCCAGCCAGGCAACATTGGCGACATCCAGATGGTTAGTAGGTTCGTCCAGGAGTAGGACATCAGCTCGTTGCAACATAGCTCGGGCCAGAGCGAGCTTCATCTTCCAACCACCGGAGAGGGAGCCAACCTTCTGGGCTTGGCGACCCTCAGGGCCAGGTGTGAAACCGAATTCAGTCAGAACCTCAGAGATACGCTCGGTACCCTGGGTGGCGATCTCAGGGTCCTTTGACACGAATTCGAGAATGCTGATTTCAGCATCTTCGCCCTGGTTGTGTTCCACATAGCAGGTGCGAAGGACATCCTGAGGTGGGAAACCTTCAAGCTTGCCACCAGCAATACTCTTCATGAGAGTGGACTTTCCGGCACCGTTGCGACCGCAAAGACCATAGCGATGGCCCTTGAGGAGACGCAAGTTGGTGTGAGAAAGAAGAAGCATACCTCCATAGGCAAGAGAGAAGTCGGCATTGACGATCTCGATTTCTCCGTCATCTTCCTTCTCGGGCACACCATATTTACGAGCGTCCTCGTCAGCGTAGTATTGCTGAACAGCGTCAGCCACCTGTTGAGGCTCCTTGGCCAAAGACTCGAGGTAGGGAGCAATTCGGGCAGAGATACGCTGGATGAAGCGGTAGTTGACATCGAGAGCAACCATCTCAGCGACGTAAGGGCGGACAAGCTTGTAGAGATCGGCGCTGCCATCAAGCCCTCGGGCCTTCTTGATCTGCTCCTCGAGAATCTTTGAGACGTCGTCACCAGTGGTTCGAGCGACAACATCCTTTTCGTCACCCATGGCCTTCTCCATAGTAGCAAGAGCCCGGTTGGCAAGCTCACGGACTTCAGGGAGGGAAGCTCGGTCGCAAACACCCTTCACACCGGGGGTCAACTTGGGGAGGAAAGTTCTGGCCTCAACAGGGTCGTGAACCAGCTTGGTAAGGTTTTCCACGATAACGACGGTCTGGCGGAGAACTTCCTGGGAGGTCGTGGGAGTGTTGAGCGATCGTTCAAGGAAAGGCGTAAGCAGAGCCAGAACAGGGGAAGTGACAATCGCCACGAAAGTAGTCTGAGACAAGGCGTGGATGGCCTTCTGGAGAGTTTGGGAGGATGGATGCTGCATAGTGTCGATAAGCAGAGGCAGGCGGGGGGCAACATCGTCGTTGGACAGAAGGGTGGTCAGCGAGTTCATGGTCTGAACAGCCTGCTTCTCAACTTCGGTCTTGAGGTCGTGCATTCCACCTTCGACAATGGGGATGAGGCCAGCAAGTTTAGCACCCATGGCCTCGCGGAGCAAGTCCTTCTCGACGGCTTCCTCCTTGGTGCCACCGAGGGACAACTTGGCCTTGTCGGCCATCTTCTGGAGCAGCTTGTAGGCTCCGACAGTGCCTTGCCATTTTCCAGTCTTCTTGGAAAGATATTCGGTCAAGGCAGGGAGCAGGCCGGCGACGAGAGCCTCGGCGCTCAGGTTGGAAAAGAGGGCATCGAGTCCGTACTGTGCAGACTCACGGACCACAGATCCCTTATCGGCGAGGGCGTCAAGCGCACACTGCACCATACCACCATCCTGAAGAAGGAGAACAACCTCGCTCAGCTTCTGTCTCGGGAGGAAGCGCTCGAAGATTGCACCAAGGAGGTTCTGGCTGCTCTCCCTCTTGAGGCCGCTCTTCTTATCAGCAGCCGCCTTCTTGATCTCAGCCAAGATGCCGTACTGGTTGAGGCCGGCAGCGCCGACAGAGTTCAGCAACAGCTCGCAGACTCCATAGCTGGCGTCGACGGAAGCCGCAGAGGTTTGCGCCGTGAAAATCGTGTTCAGCAGCCCCGAGACAACCTCATGAGGTGGTGGAGGGGCTGCTTCGGTAGACGGCGGGGTCACTGGGTGAGGCATCGTAGGCGGGGTGGACGGGCGGGCGGGAGACGATGATAGAGGGCTGTCGTTGTAGGAGTCGGATCTAAATATCCGTGGAATAGACAAAGCGTACAGTAGCCCGGGCCTGCCGCCGATGAATTGCACCCTGGTGGTGAGGGAGGTTGTGAGAGAGAAAACAGTTGGCGGGAGGCTCTGGGGGGGTGAGAAATAATTACCACTGTATTGGGCGGCGGTGCTCGCACCGAACAATACCTGAGCCAGATCGAAATTTTTTTGGCAGTTAGGCTTATCAGAGGCTTATCGCGGCTGACAAGGGGGAAAACTCGATTTTGGGGGGCTTGTCCCTGTGAACTCTGAGACTTTGCATGTGCTTCCGTAATCCTTGGCCGGGCCAACCAGATCCTCCCCAGTACCCACATGCTAAGTTAGATTAGAACAAGCAGTTATGATGGACCCCCATCTCCCCGACCTCGTGCAATCTCGGCAGTTAGAACCACCTTTTCCCTGACAGATTGACTTCACAGCAGAACTATAGGTTGGATATACATTATGAGACCCGGGCAGGGGACGTGGCGGTCATAATTCGCCAATGGTAAGTAATTTTAATATATATATGTACAAAACAAGCAGTAAACCTTAGGGACGATATGTATCCCATCCATTCTCCGGATGATAAACCCAAGACAAAGCCCAATTAAAAATGAGACGGAAAAATGAAAAACCATGGAGGGTATAATATAACAGCAAGAAAGTGCAGCATATATGATGTCCGCCGCAGCGCAGAAATGAAACCCGACAACGATGGCAGGTCTATGATTGACGTGCATTCATTATACAGTAAACAGAAGTGAAGGGATGGCGCTAGCATCAAGTCGATGTGACAATAATCCTAGCTCTTTTATCGGTGTTGCTCTTCGCGGAGTGAAACAGGGCCTTGGAAGCCAGCTGCAGTCGGTGTTGACACAGTCTGCATCTCCACGCCAAGTGCACTCTCCTTGGGTCTCAGATCTCGTCTGATGCCCAGTCGTTGATCACCTTCCTGGTATTTCGACTTGAAACGATAATAGGTTGGCGGCCGAGGTCGACATAAGACGGAAATTATGTTCTTCATAAAGTTACCTTGCGAGAAGGCTCTGAAACGCTCCTTCTTAGCAAACTTGTGAGAATTCATGTACTCCCGTGTCGTCTCTCCTCGCGCCATGAGGAAGATATGGTAGCCCATCAATGCGGCAGGGTAGAGCAGCTCAATGAATGCCAAGATAAGAAGGGCGAACGGCCCGCGGAAGTGGTTAATGGCCTGGCCGAATGAAATTTGTTCCTCCTTCTTGTAAACAAGAATCTGAACCAAGCTGGTGGCGATGATGTAGAAGGCAACGAGAGTACCTGAAGTTACAAAGGCAAAGAAATACCGATAGTTGCGTTTACCAACGCAGTTGTTGAGCCAAACACAGTGATGGTCATGGCCTTCAACGCAGTTGTCGCACAATCGGCAGTGGTGTCCTCGAGGGGGTCGCCAGATGTTGCACGTCCTGCAGTGCTTAACTGGAACCTCCATGGCAGCGGTTTGGGACTCGGCCGACTTGACCAGAACCCAATCATTTGTTCGGGGTCCAATCTGCAAGGGGTCCTGGTCGTCTATATCCGGGAAACGATGAACGTTCCGGGGTAGGATCTATTGAAATTAGCATCGGTAAACGGTGATGGTCACGAATGAGTAGCACATACCCCAGGATCTGATACAGATGCGTGAAGGAAAGAGGAAAAGCAGATGAAAGCGAGGTAGGCAAATACGATGGGAACAGCCGGCGAAATATTGTGCCACAGCCAAGGGGCCTCAAATCCAAAGAACAGACCACACGGCAGGACAATGAACATTCCTGTTCCGATATTCACGGGTCGTCCGATAGTGTTCTGCCATCTGCCTCCAAGCCAAAATCTTGTGTTACCCTCAAAATATTGATACACTCGGCCGAGATTCGATGCTTGCCGTTGTGTAGCAGACTCTTGGTTTGGCTGACCTCGAGAACCTATTGGATTAAGTTTGGGAGATGATGCACCAGAAGACAATTTTTCTGCGCCCTCTGTGCTTCTATTTCGGCCGTGGCCAGTGCTACTCCTTCCAGGCATCAAAAAGCTTGACCGGAAGGATCGAGGAGTCTTGATGGGGGTTGGCATATTCTTTTCCATCTCCTCGTAATTCTTAAGGGCGTGAACACTGGTATTGATCCGGTGTGGCTCCGGGGTCTTCCGTAGAGGCCGGACACTATCCGACAAGCTCCCTCCTGCGTAGTGCCCGTTGGAAGGACTTGTGTTTGCTGTTACTCTGTCGTGCTCCGTGACTTCGGTCCCTCGAGATGGTGGGAGCTGGAGATTTTCGTCATCGCTGGCCGGGTGCCGAAGGCCAACAGGAGTATGGATAGTTGCAGAGACCGGGGATGCATCCTGATGGATCACACTACCACCAATATCGGTGGCCCCATCATCAAAATCCCCGGGAATGTCTATCGGTGAGCCCATCGTGGTTGGTCGTGAAGTTGCGCCTCCTCTATGGGCTTGCAACTTCTGGGAGCTCATCGGGCGGAAGAAGGCATTGGACGTAAGGGAAGGTACGTGGCTCCGGCTTGCTATACTCCGTGTGCGGCCATCGCCCCTCACACTGGAAAGGGACGTCCGCTTCCATGACGCGACTGAGTCCCTGACGTTTGGTGACGTCGCTACTGACCCGGAAACAACTGATCCCGCCGCTGTCACTGCTGTTCCGGGTCGCGATGTTCCTTTACCCATCGCAGATGTGCGGCCCTGGGCATCGATTTCACTTCGGTCGTCACTCATCCTTGAGGACAAGGCGCTGGGTGCTTCAGACCTGTTGGAAGGCGGGACGGGGAACCCCCCACCGTCGTTGCCGGTGGGCGATGTTGACGGGGACATGGCGGAAGACTTTGAGAGTAGTGGTGGTGTCTGGTCGTCTATGACATAGCCTTGATCGACAGATTCACGTCTCGGGTCCTGTAGCGCAACGATCGACGGAGAAATTTCCAAGCTTCAAGGTAGAATCGCACGGGGAATGTTTTAGTAACGGCGTATCGTGTAGTCGGGGCGCTGGCAGATTATGGTGGTGAGTCCTCTCATCCAGGGGTCGATGGCGTATAAGGTAAAAAGGAATGGGGTGCGGTCGCGGAGGAGTCGGGAAGGAAAAAGGGCCGGTTTGGAAGAGAATGTCGCAGATAGAGAGGAAGGAAGGTGTCGGGTACGTGCGTAGGGGCATAAAACCAAAGAGAGAATGAGACGCTGCGAGAAAAGAAAGAGAGCGAAGACCTGTGTGTGCGGTGTAGGTTCCAAGTCCAAGGGAGGCAGTAGCGCCTGGGTCTGTGATGTTGCTTTTTTTGCTCCCCCCTCGCTGACTGCGGACGACTACCCGGTTCAATAGGACACTTTCGAGGAGCCAGTAGCTGATGAGCATGGGCAGCCGTCCCTGGCGACGGCTCACCAACCACAGCGCCCAATACGACTCCCCCTGGCAGAGGACCTAATTAAGGCATCTTTTTCAATGCTACATCGCGATGCTACGTACTCCAACTTTACCTCCAATCACTCAATCAATAGGCTTCGAACTGCCGCCTCTGGATCCCAAGTGGTGCATCATCGCATGCCGCTCAAATGACGTTGGAGCGGTCGCAACCACCCACCCCATCTCCTGTCCCACAAACTCCCTGAGTGACACGACACGGAGAACTTGCATAAACTCAGATAATTGATACCTGCCTCCTTAGTACGGAGCAGAGAGTGCTTGCATGAGCTTGACGTCTGGTCGCGTCCACGACCAGGTACGTCAGGCCGATTCCCTAATCGTTGCTAGCCCAGAGCAATTTGACGTCCCTCAATACCGTGTTGGTTAGTATGTCTTAGAATTGCAGCCAACAACTGCTGATCCCTATTAGGTGCACTCAAGCCTTGTGATGTGAACTGATTGATCTAGCCACGGGGAATCCCGCGACCGAGGGAGGGGCCACAGGCTCTCGATGCCTCAAATGTCAGGCAACCAACGAAAATCCCCAGCGTCCCCCAGCTGCCACCAGGAAAAAAATAAAGAACGTCATGATGATGACTGAGCAATCACGTGAAGCGGCAGTCCCCATGTGCGCCGCATTGGCCAATGGCAGCTCGAGCAAACATGGCGCTTCAAATCGATCATACGAGCCTCACCCGAAAGGAAGTGCCCCATTCCGATCTCACCCATTGATTTTCTTCTCCTTCGCATCACGCTACGGACAAGCAAACAACTTTCACAATGGCCTCTCGCATCGTCTCTCGTCGTTTCCTCTCCACCACCGTGCGCCGCCTCCAGGAGCACGAGAAGCAGGAGCTCAAGAAGGAGGCCCGCCGCAACCCCGAGACCCTGGTGCGTCATAATGCCAAACCGCCGGCCTAGCTCTCTTCTTCCAGCAGGCCGGCATCAACCTTTCCAAGCCTTCTGGACTAACAATTGACCTGCAGGTCCTCGGCGGTGTTATGGTCGCCGCTCTCGCCGGTGCTGGCTTCTACTTTGGTGCGGCAATCCCAGTCTACTACCGTCGAGGCCATCAGACTAACAGTTCAACACCGCAGGCCGCACTCCTACCTCCAGCACCTCTGAGTCCCCAGTCGGCATTGCCAAGGGCGGCATGCCCTGGGAGACCAACACCTCTGGCAAGTACCAGTACCACCCCGGTGGTGACGCCAGCCAGGCCCCCAAGGACGCTCCCTCCGCCCTCAACAGCGTCATTGTCCCCAACGTCACCCTCCCCGCAGAGCTCCACGAGAAGTTCAACAAGTTTGGCAAGGACGGCTACCCTTAAGCGGGGAAGCTCAATTGCGGTCGTTTTTCCCACGGGCAGGCCTGATGCCTTGGGACTAGAGAGCAGGAGGTACTATCATCCCATGTAGATATATTGCTTTGTCAGAGAAACACTTGCCAGAGCTTGATTGCGGCGAACGAAAATAATTCCTTGAAACTCGTATGTGTTTTCTTGCATGGGTGTGAGAACGATTGGTGATTGTAACATTACATATGCAGGATTACGTATTGCCTCGGTGGTGTATGTCGATACTACCATGCATTTCGATCTAATAATCGATATACCTATAGGATATAGTGAATGACCAATAACTCTGTCACAGAGAGAGGGGGCCAAAGAATTATTCTACCCAGCGAACCTGTTAGTTTAACGTTTCTTCATTATATCATACTATGCAAACAAAGCATCATTGGTAGAGCTTCTGTTGAAGGCAGCCACTGCGACAGATCTACGTCTCAGGCTCTATGCCGTGAGTGACTCTATCTCCTCCACCGTGAAACCAAACAGATACAGCAAATCCAGCAGGCTGTCTCCGTTGAGCCTAGCATCCGCCTCCATCTGCACCCTCGGCTTTGCGTTCCAGGCCACACCAAGCCCAGCCTTTTCCAGCATGAGCAGGTCATTAGCTCCGTCGCCGACGGCAATGACCTGCGACAGGTCAATGTTCTCCTTGGCCGCAATCTCAACAAGCAGATCCCGCTTGCGCTCCTTGCCCACGATCAAGCCTTTCGCCTCACCCGTGAGCTTCCCATCCTCAATGACGACTTCGTTTGCATGCGCATAGTCAAGACCCAGCTCACCAGCCAGCCAGCTGGTCAGGGGCAAGAAACCGCCGGAGAGCACGGCAATCTTGACACCCAACCGCTTGAGTGCCCTGATCAGCTCCTTGACGCCATTGGTCACGTCCAGGACGGGGCGCAGGTCCTCGAATATGGTAGCAGGCAGGCCCTTGAGAAGGCGGAGACGCTCGCGGAACGAAGCGTCGAATTCGAGCTCACCCAACATGGCCCGGTGCGTGATCTCAGCCACGCGCTCTGCAAGGTTCGGCGGGTCGTTGATCGTCTCTGCCAAAAGATCAATGACCTCCTGGGTGATGAGGGTGCTGTCCATGTCGAAAACGACGAGGCGGGGGTGTCTCCGCCACACTGACTCGCGCTGGAGGTTGACATCTACGTTCCACTCCTGTTCGAATCGATAGATCATCTCGTGTTTGCGCAGGTCATCGAGGGAGAGGTATGACGACAGCGGTGCTGGGGCGAAGGACAACTCGACAACCCTTGGGTTCTCCTGGTTGTCAAGGCACCTGTGGGACGAGTGAGGCTCCTCAGCCTCGGATGGCATAGGAAAGGTCGACATGAGATGGAGGAAGGAAGTGATGCAGAGGGGCGAGATGTAGGAGCCATAGATGTGATCGAGCTGCTCTGATTCCTGAGTAGGCGGCTCGAGAGGGAAGGCATCCATGTTGGTGGTCGGGGCCATGTTCGGGGGGAGGGTCTCAGTGCTCTCGGATGCGGAACCCTTGATGGGTGACTTGGGAACAGGGCTGATCGCTCCCTTGGGTTTCGACTTGTAAATCAGCGTCGCGACGAGTCTATCGACGCTTGCGCCCTTGGACGGGGTGCAATTTGGGTGGGAGAAGCTGTAGTTCACCCCGCTGTCAACAATGGTGGGAGGAGCATCCTCGGAGGGTACACCACGGAAGTGCTTTGGCGATGGCGCCTTGGAAGGAGAGAGGTCTTCAACCACGGTATCAATACCATGATGAGCGTCAGGTTGTCGGGTAGAACGATACTGCTGGTGATCACTTAGGTAGGAGCTGCTCCGCATCGAGCTAGTCATCTGCGGTCGCGAGACAAACTGCTTGGAATCGTCGACGGAGGCCATAGTGGTGGTAGAGGTGGGGTAGGAGGAACAGGGAGATTATCCAAGATCTAATAATCTAGGCCTGCAGCGGGATGGAACAGATGGGATGGGCGTCAGGCTTGTCGCTGTCGCAGCAGTGTCAGTTCGCGGGGCAGCGGGATCTGAAGCGCAAAATTTGTCACCGGCTGCTCGCGAGAAGCTGCATGGCAACAGTCTAGTGAGAACCAGACCTGACGATCGCGATGGAAGAGCAGGAGCCCCGCATCAGCTCAGTGGTCGATGCTTTTTTGTTCGATTACCCCGCCAGCGTCCATGGCCGTTATACCCAATCAACACCCTGAGAAATATTTCTGGCAGGTCTCCGCAATTGGTCAGAATTGTATTCGCTGGGTCCTGACCAGGTACGCCTGTTTTTCGCAGCTCTCACTGGTGCACCAAGCGCTGCAACCGCGACGTTTGCTCCGGAGTCAACCACCCACCTTCTACTGTTACTTCAATCTCGCAGATCCGGGCGACTATGCGTGTCAACTTGCCTGGATGAGACTAGGCATCCAACATGAGGAAATTATGTTTGCATATACATCTGGGAGAATGCTGTGTTAATATCTCTCGAATAGCCTCAGGAAATTTATATGAGGTCCGACAGGCAGGCCAGAATATCAAGTCGCACATTTGCACAACAAAGGCTATTTAGCTCTGCCCTGGCAATGGTTTTTGCCAACAAACAGTAAAATCACAAAGACGGGATATCGTCAAGAGATTCGGACAGCTGGGAGGTCAGGCAGGGATCAAGTACAGCTCGACTACCAAAAAAATACATCGAGGTTTATTATTGGTAAATAATATTACATTAATATTTCATATATTTGTATATTTAGTAAATACACGCGGAGATAGGCAAAGGGCATAATTGACATTTCCATCACAATGAGCGAGCGCAAGTACACGTCAACATTAGATGCCGCCATCAGCCTCCAGACCAAGCTCCATCGGCGGCATTGACGCTGCAATGTGCCACTGGCGGATATAGGGTAGGGCTGCCGGCAAGATGGCCCACTTTGCTGTTGTCATCGCACAGATGGAGGCACGTGGGGTGACAAATGCGAAGACGCAGAATTCAATATTTCTCAGCAATGCTCAATGGCGCCCTTGTTCCGGATACGGGAGAAATAGCCTGCTGGGTGATTATCTTAGCGACTCGTCCGGTGTGAGCCGGTCCTGATTAATATAAGATCTTTTCACTTTCCGCGGCATTGCTCAGCGTTCCGGTGCTCGGCCCCGACGCCCGGATCACATCAGTACAGCCGGAAAACTGCAAATTTTGACGGTATAAGCCACCGATCCGATGGTGGGTACGCTCACAAAAGCGGGTTGTGACGTTGTGCCGTTTACATGCCCAAGAAACCAAACATTCCAGGCATTGTTACGATGCTAATCATGCCACGTCTGATGAACACGCCAGAAGCGTCCTCTCCTGAAGTGATAACTGTGTAGTATTTGGAGCCTGCCCTGTTAGAAGGCCTGATGAAGCGCCCGGCCACCAACTTCCGAAACGGAACCTAGACCTCCAGATCCCAACGCCGCCAGGAGTCCAACGGACATAAGTCGAGAAGACACTTCTGAGATGCCGAAGAAGATCGATCCGTCCTCTCCGAGATCCACCGGGAGGTTTGACTCCCTGTTTCCCCAGCCCGATAGCCTTTCAACCTCCAGTCGTCGAAACTGGGGCAGGGAAAGTATTGAGTACTTGCTCGACGCTAGCGGCGTGGCGAGTCAGAAGTGTATTGTCTACCGAGGCCAAAGCCTTCGGCGGCCGTGGCGAGCCAATCAGAGCCTTCGATCGGCCATCGCGAAAGGCATAGCGTGGATGTCGTGCTCGCATCATCAACTTCAACGACTTGCAGATTTGCCTATTGTTTCCTTCCCAGGATACCGGCAGCGATTGCGCCATAACCTCTGGCCCTACAATGGGCCACAGCATTAGGCATCTCATTTGTCTATGCCCTTCCGTTAATAGAGTAATCAGGACCCTCGGCCCCATTAGTAAGGTCATCTGTAGTGTAGGCACTCACTTCCTTGGCAAAAGCCCGACTGGAGGTGTAATATTAACCCCTCCCGAGTCTGTTCACCATTCTCGTTCTTTGATGCCCTTCATATAACGCTTCTCTCGCTTCTGACACCAATACATCCCACTTTGATCTGTATGACAAAGAGTTAGTCACGACGGCATCTCAGGCACAAAGCATCAAAAGACCCCTCCGGAAACAAAATACACAACCGCCTTTCCGAGCCGGGATCCTTACCAATAATACAACTCCCCAAAAACTTCATTCACAATGGCTGTCGAGATGTCACAATCGAACCAGTCATACCGAAAGGAGGATGTCGAAATCGACTCGGGATACACCTCCAGCCACTCCGACTATTCTCCCTCATCGTCAACTCAGTCTCTCCCTCTCATGTCTCTCACAGCCGCCCACCTTGAGCACCTCAACAACCAGCTGGAGCCCATGCACCCCATGGACATTCTGCGGTTCTGCAAGATCATGTTCCCCAACCTCTACCAATCGACGGCATTTGGCTTGACCGGCCTCGTGACCATGGACATGCTGTCCAAGATCCAGGATGAGAACCCCGAGTCCAACCAGGTGGAACTCGTCTTCCTCGACACCCTCTACCACTTCAATGAGACCTATGACCTGATCGACCGCGTCAAGGCTCGCTACCCCAATGTCCCCGTCCACATCTTCAAGCCCCACGGCGCCAACAATGTCGAGGAGTTCGAGGAGACCTATGGCAAGGAACTCTGGAGCACCTCCGACGAGCTGTACGACTGGATCATCAAGGTCGAGCCCCTCCAGCGAGCATACGACGAGCTCAAGATCGCCGCCGTCCTCAACGGACGCCGCAGATCCCAGGGCGCCGCCCGAGGCTCCATCCCCATCATCGAGCTGGACGAGGAGCGCGGCATCATCAAGATCAACCCCCTCGCCACCTGGTCCTTCGGCCAGGTGAACGCCTACATCAAGGAGCACGACGTGCCCTACAACGCCCTGCTCGACCAGGGCTACAAGTCCGTCGGCGACTGGCACTCGACCAGCCCCGTCAAGGAGGGCGAGGACGAGCGTGCCGGCCGGTGGAAGGGCCAGAACAAGAGCGAGTGCGGCATCCACAACAAGAAGTCAAGGTACGCCCAGTTCCTGGAAGACAAGGAGCAGCAGGCGGCGGAGGAGCAGCAGCCACAGCAGCAGGCCGACGTCGCCGCCCAGGTGGTTGAGCCTATCCACTAGCGTGCGAAGGCGAGCATCTCGGTGGTTTCTATAGTGCGGGGGGTTTGTTTCATGATTTTATAATGGAGAGCATTGCATCCGGCGTTACGGGCACAAAATTGGGCGAAGCGAAGGGCTTTTTGGTTTCTTGTTTTCTGGGCGCAAAAATGTTGGCATTGCCGACGTCTGGCGTTTGATTCTTGAGTGACGCAGTGCTCGATCTGGAATTATTGTGGATCGAGAAGTGGTGTCAGTTTATGTACCTAGATCAGCTTCGCATATATTAGAAGAATAGGAAGGATTAGTTCAAAAGCATGATGCTTGACAAAAATGTCTTGCGACGACCTGGGAAATGATGATTGCGTAATGTTTTTGGGTGAGTTAAGAGAAGCCCGGATAAGAACAGCACCCTACCATCGCTGCTACATCTCGTGCCTCTACCCCGCGTCAAGGTGAAGATAGGTGGGTGGTCTGCTATGGCGCTAACAGGGCTCGCACCATTTTCCACGCAAGTCTGATGGACGCTTATTTCCAACCGCCAATTCTTTTTTATTGGTTCCGAAATTCACTTCTGTCGGAGATAGGTAGGGAATTGTGGAACTCTCGTGACCTTGAACAAGCTGCTAGAAAAAGTGCGATGCAGGCACTCCCGTCACCACCGGCCAGCTTCTTGGGCAAGAAGAACAAGATCCTGCAGCAGCTGGCAGTCCCTGATTCTGAGTACGCAGATGCGTCTCCGAAGGGGTCTGTTGACGTTGGGATTCGCGATCTGATCGCAGAAATCAACGACTTTGAGGGCCTGGTAACAACGAGCAGCTGTGCAGGGAGAGTGAGTGTTTTCCTCGAGGGGAGAAAGCATTCTGAAACTGGCGACGATGAGCGCCTAGCCCAAACAACAACAGCCGGAGTGGGAGGGAAAGGAGGTGGAGGAGCGTGGCTGTTTGTTTCCCATGATCCAGTGACAAAGGGTGATGAAACCTGGATGGACTCCCTATTGTGCTCGGAAGAGGCTCAAAAAGAAGTAGCTGAGTTTCAAGGAGAGAGACGTTTAATCCATTTTAAATTCGAGCCCATGGTGAGAGACAGAGAACCAGCCAGCCATTTCCTTTTTTATGCTAGAGAAACAAGTGAAGCTAATTTGTGGGTGCTTTAGATTCTTCACGTTCTTTCGGCATCTGCCGCCCACGCTCAACTTATCCTACGCTGTGCTTTACAAGCTGGATTTCGAGAGTCAGGCGCTGTGAGCCTGACTCCATCAGCAACTGAACAGCAACCGACCCCAGTGGTTGCGATCCGGTCAATGGGACTAAGCTTTGAGTCGCTAATTGGATATCAAATCGGCGACCGAAGAGCAAGCCTGGTATCACCTGACTACCTTCGGATCCTGATGTCCATCGCCACAGAAAGATTTGCAGAGAACACTAAGCGGATCGAGAGATTTCTTTCTGCTTTCCGAGACGCAATATCCACTCCATTCTCTGTGAGAAGAAATCCAGATGGTCAGGAGTGGGAGGATGCAGCTGAAAGGCGGGAAAGAAAGCGGGCAGAGGGTCTAAGAAGAAAGGCAGAGCTTCAAGCCGAAAAAGCCAAACAGGACCCAACACCCAACGAGCCTGATGAAGCAAACGTAGATCAAACGTCAAGTTTCCTCCCTGGCTCATAACAAAAATTGGAACAAATAAATAAAAACAAAACAAAGGGTTTAAAAAAGGCCAATCAATAATGATCTATTGTGTTACTGGGTTCTTGATCGTCAAAGTTCCCATAATATACAATCCATACTTTATCGTCCACATAATCCATCCCAGGGTTTTATCTGCTCGTTTACGAGACCACCTTGTTCACCCACTGCTGTTCCAGCTTCTTGACCTCGACCTTGAACTTCTCAACCTCCTCGTAGCAATTCAGTGGTCGGCGGTCGTTGTCGGTTAAGCACTTGATGACCTCGTTCCTTGCGCTCTCAACACTCTCGGGGAGTGTTCGAACCTGTTTCCTCTCCTCAAGTTTGCGACGGAACTCCTCGACCTGTTTGCTGACCGCACGGCGGCTCTGGCCCTCCTCAGACTTGTTCTCGTTGGCGGCAGCGGCGATCTTATCCTGAGCCGCCTTGAGGGCCTCGGACTCCTGGTTCTGGAGCTTCTTCAACTCCTCGGCCACGCGAGCCTGGATCTGAATCTCAACCGTCCGAGAACGTGAAGCATCGGTCTAGATCAGTCATTGCCGAGTTAGTTGGCCCGTAGCAGACGCAGTGGAGAGGGTCGTGTAGAAGGGATGCTGGTCATTCAGAGACTCTTTTTCGTAGAGCCGAGGAGGACGGCACATGCGAACAAGGGAGCCAGGTATATACGCACCTCAGGGTTGGATTGCAGGGAATCGAGGAGATCGTGGGAGACGGAGCTGGGGCCTGAGCTGTTTTCGCAAGTTAGCCTTGGCCTGAGGGTAAAGTGGTCAATTGAAGAGAGAAGATCACTTACGCCTTCCAGATGTGCCCGGCAAAACCGGGCTTGGACTCACTAGCACCCATTTTCGCTTGGTCAATTGGTCTTTTAGGACTTCAAGCTGATATTCCGCGCGCTCGTGATGACGATCTGGAAATTTCCGGACCGTGAGGCCGTCCCGCGGTAATGGGGCTTACGTAATGATGTCTTCCATTGCAGCTACCCTAGACCCCTACCATTAGCCATCAGCCTGAAGTAACCGGAAACATGGCACCCCGAGGTACCAACCGTATTTTATACATACGAGTACTGAAATTTCACAATAATGTCAAAATGCATCGGGCTTGTAACGAGAAGCCGGCTTGTTTATCTGTTCTGATTGTTCTTGTTGCGAACTAAAGAATACCATTGAAGTCTGCAACTACCTAACATATCACAAGTGACATGAGTGCAGTGGTGTGCCACAATTTGTGTTATCCACATGGCTACGTATTAATAAGGCACGTATTTTAACTCATAGTGCGGACAAGGGGAACCTTGATCATATAGCTAGGAACACGAGTAGCGCCACACTTTAATGTGACATGAAATGTGGCTGAGAAACTGTCATCATCTTGCATTGTTGTCTGGCGGGCAATAGGTTAGAGGTCAATCATGCATATGCACAAAAATAGCATTCTCATCAACGAGAAACATGCAATCAATCCCATTATGCCACACAGCCTCGGGCTTTGATCTTGGTGTTTCAAAACTTATTCTGGCTGCCGTAAGCGTGCTCAGGCCCAGTGGCCAACAAACCCACGTATTATGTTTTGCACGTTTCAGCTTCCAACTATTGAACTGGACTTCCTAAACGGGCGGTGGAATCCCGTCAGAAGCTTCAATCGACTCGTGCCTCTTCGCTGATCAGCCTCCCGGCTCACCTGCCCAGCAAGCTCAGGTAGATTAACCCCTGCCAGAGAGAAAAGAACCAGAAGGGACAAAGAATTCTTTGCTTCGCTTCTAGTCCCCCACCTGTAAGATAGGTGACGGAGCGCGTGGGTTTTTCCTCTCGCCCTTGAGAATCAAATCTTGCATGCCAAGATCCTAAGCCCGCAGCCACCCACCGCACCGCAAACGCTGAGGCCAAGCGAGATGAGATGAAATAAATCGGCAGCAGGGGAACAAAATAAGATGATGAGGCCAAATCGAGAACGGAACTTGGAATCTAACATCTTTTTAGGATCTTTTAGGATCTTTTCAGTCGGAGAGAAGAGGAACTCGGGGGGATATTAATGCGTGGGCTAACGGCTTTCCAATTAATATCCCTGAAGCATCGTAATGGCGTCACTGATACTGCGGCTCTCTGCTCTCAACAAGGAACATACCAGACATACGAATGAGAAACTTCCATGATACCTTGGTACTATTTTCATCACATGGGCGCAAAATTTGCTTCATTAGTCACAGCGAAGCATCCAAGGCCCTAGATGAGCCATTCACCTGTAAATATACCAAGACTACAAGCCTGCTTAAAATTGAAATGCGTAGGAGTCTTGTGTGTCGGTAATTTGGGGGAAGGCTCATGGCAAATTGCTGATTGACGGTGTAGATAGCAGCCCCCGATTATCTTGCCATGCACTTTAGTTGGTCACACTAAATCCCACGGAAGACGCCATCGTGATAGCAAAACAAGTATCAGGGGTCATTGAGCCGATTTGATTAGCGGCCGAAACGGTGGAAGAGTAGCTGCATGCCTATTATTTGAGGAGCGGCTTAGAGGCACACCCACGAACACCTTGACTTACACGCAGCTTACCAATGTGATTACCTTGCTTGCTGATATTCTGATACGCCTCTTGAGAATGCGTGGCGATGACTTCACGGGCAGTCGTACGAGTTGGCCATGTTTGAAACAGAAATTCGTGTGTTTGGACACCGGGTTGTTGAATTCAAACAGATTGAGCCAGCGGTAGAAACATTTTGGTTTAGATCCGACTCCACGAACGGCAGTGTTGGCGGCGGATCTTGGATCGTGGCATGATTTCTTATTTTCCCTAACTTCCTATTGAGATGTGCACCTCGAGGAATTGTGCGAAGGTCGTACGAGTTGACTCTTATCAAGTTTGCTGGGAACGGGGGGGTGGCATGTGAACGTTCTCATGGGTGTACGAGGACCATCCAGGCTACCGTGATCTGGGGGGACCTCCATCAACCTGCGACACTTAACGCAGTGAGGTCTTGGTATGGCCAGGGTCTTGAAGGAACTGTGAGAGCCCACATCAGACCATCGTTAGGGCAGCCGACATCAGAACTCATCATCTGAATTAACCGGGATCCGGACTGGTTCACTCTCCCGCGTGGAATGAGTCAGGGATTGTACATTGAACCCTCCACCGTTCACCTGAAATACGCAATCGTGGAGCAGAGATACCATTTTGCGCGCGCAGGTTGCTGAGAGAAAGTCAAGGTGCCAAGCGCTTCTCTGCAGGAGGATGCTTGTGCAGTAATGAGAAATTTAACGGCCCGTTAACCGACTCTGCAGGTGTTCAGTCGTCATGTCATTCTGGGCGCCTAGGGCACCAATGTTGGGTTGAGGAGGAGGCGGTAGTGAGGGCAAGGCAATTCGCCTGGCTATCCTGGGCGGACAACGATGAGACGTAGATCACTGATGCTTCTAGCGCGATGGCACGATTCCATGAAAAAGTTTTCTGAGCCCGTCGGCTGGCACCGAGAAGATGGAGCAACGGATGGGAGGGATTGGCCAGCGAGTAGAGTTGCTTTCGGGAAGGTTTTCCATTTCCCACAGATACGTAGGCATCATCGAGCGTGCTGCAAGGAGGCCAGAGAACACCGAGACTTGTCTTGGCAGCCAATGAGGAGAAATAACCGTTTTGCGCTGTGCAGGGGCCCCTTCACTGGTGCATGGTGCCTGGCTGTTTGGCAGTTGTGGTTGGCTGGCCGGGCGCGCTGGAGGCTACCTACACCGATCGACCCGCCACAGGGGAGAAGACGCAGGCCACGGCGACTGGACAGGGCCCAAGCAATCCTCCCCTGGCTGTCCCTGTGGCTTGGTTTCAGAATAGTCGCCCAGCCAGTCACCGCCCCGGGTGCTGTCGCCCAGTCCGCTTGACCTGAGAGCGCCCCACTCCCCCATCGCCAGCGGCTGCGCCCACGGACTCTCTGGTGTCCAATGCCTGGACGGGGGAGGCAAGTGTTGGGACCTGTCTGTCGGACAACGGCGGTTCAGACCAAATCTATTGGCTTGGGCATGTTGCAAGACCGGCCAGTCGCCTGCCGGTGTCTGCAAGCCCCAGCTGCCTAGGCGGGACTGGGCTCTGACTGCGCTGGTGCCAGAGAGACAGGTATTCGCAGCATTGGTCGGCTGTTCGATAGTAGACGCTGGTTTGCCCGCGTGACGGACGGGCGTTTGTTTGAGAGTCGGAGGCTGCCCATGCTCCCAGGCTGACGGATTCCTCTGAATCGTACGAGCGGGCGAGGCTCGGGGGACCTGGGCCTGCGGGCGAACAGGGCCGTCAGATGTGAGTGTTTCTCCGTGCGATGAAAGCGGCAATGGCTTGACTTAGATGTGGTCACTGCTCAGACACCTCACCTAGTAGGCAGTGGCAGGGCCCGCGGCAGGCCCCAAGGCCCACGCCCACTGGGTCCCGACAGCTGGATGGGCCTAGCTCACAGGGGCTGCGAGGGGGCGAGGGGAGACGGCCAAGCCGCCGTCTGCTGGCCCAAATGCTCGGCAGGTGCTGGGGACTGCCACTTGCAGTGGGATCGTCAAAAGGTACATCATCCGCCTTCACCCTTCGTCCATCCATCCTGCACTTCTCTGGTTGATCCATGGTTCGTCGTGCATTCCTCCCTTTGGAATAACCTCTCCACCCCTTGACTCACTTCTCCCTCCCTTGACTTGTTTCTCATTTGGCTGAGCCAACACAACCTCTCTCTTTTCTTCCCTCCAGTCCACGGCACTGGTACGAAGTTGCCCAACCGCGCGCATTTGGCCACGCCTGCACCGACTTCACTTCACTCACTCCCTTCACAACAACCAACCTTCTCGTTGACGTAGATACTGACGGCTACTGCTGGCTGGACAATCGAGTTATTCTTCGGCTGCATCTTGTTGTTCACTTGGGAATCTCATGTCATTGATCTGACAAGTCCCTCCTCTCCTCTCATCTCATTTGGCATAGTTCTGCGCCAAGTGACGATCTCAACTTGGATCGACATTCGCGCTGCGTTTCTTCAGACAACAAGCTATTTCTCTGCATCCCACCCCTTTCTATCTTTCTTTGTTCCCTTGCCTTCCAGTTTGGGAAAATTTCTTGATTCATCTATTTCTCAACAACCGGTCTTATTGTTCCACTGTCGCTCAACCTACTCATTGACGTCAAAATCAACTCGACTCATTCACGTTTTGTGTGTTACGCCACGAGCACCTGCGCCACTTCAAACTCGAACAAGGCTGGTCCTGATCCTGACGCATTTGCTACGACGGTCTCAGCATGCAATTGTTTTGACGATTCTAGGATTTACCTATCCACCACACCACAGTAGTCAACACAGTCTGGTACTCGCATTGACGTAACCAAGAATCGGATTTCGGCACACTTCACTCTCACTACTCCTATCTAGCCAACGATACAAGACCGAGATCTTTCCTCGATTTACTCTCGCCTCCTCAACAATGGAGCAATTGAGTGACGCCCTGGTGCGTGAGGTCGCTGACCCCAACGCCATCGACTGGAAGGCACCCGCAAACATGTCCACAGGCCCATCCGCTTACTACCATCACCTCAATGGAGTCAACCAACCTGTGAATATGCTTTGGAAGCAAGTTCTCTGGTGGACATTGGGTGGCATGGGATTCATCATGCTGGCTATTCGCATTGGGACTTTGGTTTGGTCGAAGCTTCGCCATATTGCCGCCATGTCTGAACCCCGCGAGAAGCAAGGATACTGGAAGATTTCCCAATGGAGCTGGATGCCCTCTCTCAAGAAACATCTGGTCTACGCCCCTCTCTTCTACAAGCGCCACAACCGCGAATTCCGCCTCTCTTCCGCCATGAACGTTGGGACACTCCCATCTCGTTTTCACTCCTTGATCCTTTTCATCTACAACGGGAGCAATCTTGCTTACATGCTGGTTCTTGACTGGAATCAAGAAAACAAGTATGCCCTTGCAGCTGAGATGCGTGGCCGTTCCGGAACCCTTGCTCTAGTCAACATGGTCCCTCTCATCATCTTTGCTGGCCGTAACAACCCTTTGATCGGCATGCTCTGCATTAGTTTCGACACCTACAACCTGCTACATCGCTGGCTGGGCCGGCTCACTGTTTTCCAGGTGGTAGTCCACACCGTTGCCTGGTGCATTCCTGCCGTCGCCGACAGGGGCTTCCAAGGCATGGTCGACCTCTCTCTCACTCATGCTTTCTACTGGTCTGGCTGGGTTGGTACGATCGTCATGGTCATTCTTTTGATCACTGCCTTCTCCCCGATCCGACACGCATTCTACGAGACATTCCTCAATATCCACATCATCACTGCCCTCATTGCTTTCATCATGACTGTGATTCACTGCCTTGATTCTAACCTTGGTGCCCCTCTTCCTCAATATCCTTGGATCATTGCCATCTGCCTGATCTGGGCTCTTGAGCGATTTGCCCGATTTATCCGCCTTGCCTGGACCAACTATGGCTCGAGTGGACTAACCTATGCTGTCTGTGAGCCTATGCCTGGTGAGGTTACCCGTGTCACGATGCACTTGCCTCGATATGTTAGGTTCAAGCCCGGTACCCACGCTTACCTTCGATTCTTCGGCATCCGATCTTGGGAGAGCCACCCGTTCTCCACCGCCTGGATCGAGCATAACCACGGTTCTCACGCCTCGCTTCCTGTCACCGAGAAGGACCCACTTGCCAATATCAGCCGCAACTCTTCCTCGACAAGCGTCTCATTCCTCGTTGGTGCCCAGACAGGCATGACCAAGCTTCTATACGAAAGGGTTAGCCAGAGCTGCAGCATCGGCGGTAGCATGAGAATCAAGGCCGCCCTCGAAGGACCTTATGCCGGACACCACAGCCTCGACTCCTACGGCCACGCTGTGCTCTTTGCTGGCTCAACGGGCATCACTCACCAGCTATCCTATCTTCGACATCTCCTCGAAGGCTACAATGCGGGCACCGTTGCAACGCGTCGTTTGACTTTGGTCTGGATTATCCGAGACTTCGGTGCCCTCGAGTGGGTCCGACCCTACATGGACCAGATTCTACGTATGCCCAACCGAAAGGATATTCTTCGCATCCAGATCTTCGTTACACGACCACAGAACCCGAGCGACGTTACTAGCGCAAGCAATACCGTTCGCATGTTCCCTGGACGACCGAATATTCCCCTTCTCCTGGTCAAGGAGATCCAAGAGCAGGTCGGCGCCATGTGCGTCACAGTATGTGGCCCAGGTGCATTGGCTGATGATGTGAGAGGTGCCGTAAGAGCGGTACAGGGCGAGACAGTGCTTGACTTCGTTGAGGAATCGTTTACATGGTGAGCGAATTCCTGGGTTATTGCTGCCTTTCGACTGATGGATCGTATATACACCTGAGCTGTACTTGCAATTTTTTCATTTCCATTTCTTTATACTGTCTATCACTGTTCTATCTGTATATACAAGACACATTCCTTTTACCACCAGTTTTGGGGGGAAAATTACGACACGACGTTGGCGTTTCCATGGAAAATGGCGTTTCCAAGGAATTGCATAATATAGCGGAGCATAGACGGCATCGCATTTCCTTAGTTATTTGAGAATATATCCAAGCAATCAATCAATCAGACATTTTAGATTACTTCTCTTGCCTTCAAATCTGATGTGTCTCCTTATGTGCTGATGTAATTTCTTTCGCCTAGCCCAGCCTTGCAAACCCAGGAACTCCTACTATGCTATGCTTCTATCGTATGCAATATGATCATGAACGTAACCAAAAAAACCTCCCGCTAGAACAAAGGAAAGGCAAGCACGCAAGAAATTGATCTGTGACGCATATCTCACGCTGCCAGCTTGGCTAGCTCGCTGACACCCAAGTCGTCAACCTCCAGACCCCTAAAGCCTTCCTCGACGGCCCAGGCCCTGCCCCTTTCCTGCTGGTACAGGACGTCACATGACTTTCCCACAACCAGAAGCCCCGGGGGCCGGCTGCCCTCGGTCTCGATCGCTTCCGCGACATGCCTCAGCGTCGTCCTGATCACCCGCTGGTCGGGGCAGCTGGCCCTCTCGATGACGGCACAGGGCGTGCTCAGCGGCCACAGCGTCCGCTGGGACTTGGCCTTCTTCTCTTCGTCTTCTGCTGCCGGCGCCTCTTGGGTCTCATCCTCGACGTGAGCCGTCAGCTCCCGCACGAGCCCGACGATGCGGTGGAGGGCCATGAGGAAGACGACGGTCCGGGTGGCGACGAACTCGGGCGGGGACGGGGCCTTGCCCTTCTTGCCCGTGCCGGTGCAGATGAGGACCTGGTCGGAGACGTCGCGCTGGGTGGCGGGGATGGCGGCGAAGAGCGGGGCGCTGAGGGCGCTGGTGATGCCCGGGAGGACGATGACGGAGGAGGGGGAGGCGATGCCCTGGTCGCGGAAGAACTGGACCTCCTCGCCGCCGCGGCCGTAGACGTAGGGGTCGCCCTGCTTGAGGCGCAGGACGGTCTGGCCCTGGCGGTAGCCGGCGAGGGCCATGTCGAGCAGTTCCTGCTGGGCGAGGTCGGCGTTGCCGGGGAACTTGCGGGCGATGTGGACGCGGGTGCGGCGGGGGATCAGGTCGAGGACGCCGGCGGGGACCAGCTTGTCGGCCAGGACGAGGTCGGCGGCCAGGATGGCCTTGTGGGTGGCCTGGGTGAGGAGGTCCGGGTGGCCTGGCCCGCTGCCCGCGAGGATGATCTTGCCCTGCTTCGATGGAAGAGAGTCGGGGTTGGGGCCGGGCCCGCTGGCGAGGCTGTCGATGGTGTCGGTTCCCTTCTCGCGAGTGCCAGGGTAGGACTTGAAGATGGCTTCGACGTCGTCGTCGCCGATGCTGGCGAGTCGGCGCAGCGGCCAGTACTCGCAGACCTGGCTCAGCCATCGCATCCGTCTCGTCTTGGCCTCGTCCTGGGCGCCCTCGAGGACGAGGCGGTTGAAGTTTGCGCCCTGGCCGCCCTCTTCCTCGAGGTCGCCACCGGCGAGGGCAGACTCCTGCTGGACCCTTCTGCGGACCTCACCCAGCCTGGCGCATGCGGCACCGAGGTTTGCGGGGAGGGAGGCGGCGATCTCGCGGCGGATGCGCGAGGCGAGCTTGCACCCGCGGCCGTTGGTGGTGATTCCTATTTGCAGAGGGCCGTCTGTGTGTGTGGAGAGGAGAGTGAAGGTGCAGAGCTGCGGCGCGTCAACGACGTTGACGGGGATGCGGTTGCGCTTGCAAACCTCTGAGATGTGCTGACCTGGTTTTTATAGTTAGCCTTTGGACTCCTTTATTTGTCTCTTCTGTCGATCATGAACTTCAATCGTCTCAGGAATAACTTACTTTGGGGGTCGTGGGGTCCAGATGTTACGAAGACACCGTCGACGACATTGCCGACTTCTTCACGACCAAGAGTGAAAAGATCAGCATCTTCGAAAGCCTTTTGCTGCCACTTCACCTCGCCGTCGTCGATTCTCTTTTGCAGGCTGTAGTGTACTTCTACATCGGCAGGCGCCACGATGATGGGACGGGCGCCTGCGTTCAGGGACTGTGTGCAGCGGGAGGCCGCGAGAGGGTTCGTGCCGATGATGAGATGGGTGTTGCCCCTGCAATTGAGGCCGGCGAGGAGGGATATAGGTCCCTCCATGGTGGTATGTATTTTGAGATGGCAGAAGAGTAGACTGGACGGCCGTTGATGAAGCTCGTGAAGTCACAGTCTACGTGATCCAGATGTCTTGCCGAGTCTGTTCGTTTATGCTACAGGTGAACATAAGGCGATACTGGTGGATTATCTGGGACGAGCAGAGGCTATATGTATCGAGCTCAGGCGAATCCAGGTCCTCGACAGGATGGGCGAGCGTGAGGGCTTATCTTTTGGTTCCGCGGAGAAGCCTCAACACTGATATGCTAAACCACCACCCAAGATCCAGCTTGGCCTAGCGACTGGGAGTATTTGTAGATGTCCATTGGCTCTCGGCAGCCATTGATAAGCAGCCTATCAGGGCCGCCATGTCTGCTGAACCCTGATTGCATACTCGGCAGATGGCGCCCGTGTCGATGGCAGCAGATGGAGCAATTGTGATGCCGCAATCGGCCTTGCACGGAAATTGACGCCATCCCGCTCCGAGCCGGCAACCGGGCCAATCATGAGGGACATATTTTCAACCCCGTTGAAAATTTGATTTTAAGAGAGAGGAATTTTTCAACTCTATTTCCCCCACGTTGCCGCGCTTAATAATCCCTGATCCCCACTGCCGGGAGCCGCTGCAGTTAAGTTAATGGAGCCAGTTGCCAGGCAAGCGGGTGACATAAGACATTGCACACCAAAGTATAGCAGCCATAACTACAGCAAAAAAAGAGACTAAAAAATAAAACCACACCTATATAATATTTGATCAATAAATAATAGACTAGTCTTTTTAATTTTAGATATATCCAAGAACTTCTAGCAGAAAATGAGTTCAAAGAGCTTGAGTAAAGGTATATTTGAGGGTCTGTGAGTGGGCCACCCGTGGATTTTGGTGTGCAATGTCTTCTGTCACCCGCTTGCCAGGTTAGGAAATGGAGAGATGGAACAACCTGAAGGATAAAGGGAAGGGGCCTTCGAGACGGGAGTCAACTTGAGGCCTGCGAATAATCTATTTTCATGTCCATTACATCGTTCTTGTTCTACATTACTATACATCATATGAGGTGGTACATCAAGTTATAGTACAGACAGATATACAAGGAGAGGTCATCATCATCAGCTCAGTGCCTAGCGATGCCTTTCCAACTCCGGGTCTTCTCCGATCACCTCGGCATCTATCTCCTCACCCAAGAGCCTGTCTCCCTCCGCATGGATTCGCTTTAGCTCCGCCAATAGATCTTGCTGCCGTTTTCTGCCCTTTGATTTTCGATCATGCGGGACAGTCTCTGTGGTGCCGTCCTCGTCCATGTCCACCCTCACTGCTCGAGGTTGCCTGCCTTCTGCACTGGCACGTTTGCCTCCATCGTCTGGAACACCTGCTTTGACTTCTTTCCTTGTGTGAGACTTTGCTCCCAGAGCCCAGAGATCACCCCATCTTGATTTCCTGGCGTCGCGATACGCCAGCTTGCTGAAACTCTTGGGTACCGTCCAGCGTTCGATCGTGCCTTCGGGTGTACACACATCCATCGACACATGCCCCTTTCGTTTTATTGCCGGTAGGATCAGGCGGGGCAAGGATTGCATATCGGGCTGCTCTTCGGATTTCTCGTACCCAGTTTTTGCGAGTTCGGTAGCTTCCTTGCCCGAGAGAGCCCCGTGTCGGGCAACGCCTCGCTGGACAGCCACATAACTGAACTCGGCCTCGCCACGATTGTCAACCTTCTTCCTCAGCATTTGGTTATAAAAGCTGGGTCGCACGAATCTCTGGCTGAAGTGGCAAAAGTCTTTGCGACCGACACTCTTGCCGGGCTCGGGATACATTGGGCACGTGCCTTGATTGGTACAGGGAGCAATGACATGTCCCGGTTCTGGCTCACGGTGCCAAGTAGGGTTGAAGTCCTCAGGGGCGATCCGGGATTCACCAGAAGGTGTCAGCAGGAACTGGTTTAGAATGGTATCCCGCGCATGGGCAACAGCCTCAAACCCTCGCGGGTGGGCTTTTTCGATGATGATGAGAACACCCCCGTCCTTCTTGAGCAGGTGCCACAGGTTGTTCAGGATCGCCTGGCGACGATGGCTTTCTTTTTCGCGGAGGAACAAGTGTGATGAGATGATGACATCGTAGCTCTTCCTTGGCTGTTGCTGGCTACCTCCATCCAGACGAGGGCCACGCATTTCACCCGAGTGCTCATAATCAGGCATGCGAGGCAGAAAGGTTGTGTCGTGTAGGAAGGTTTTCAAGCGGTTACGAAGACGCTCCGACGTCGCAATGACCGTTTTCCGACCCGGAGGTTGATGCCCTCTTACCTCGCCTTTGTCTATTAATAAATCCCACTCTGCATTCAGAACTTGCTCCCATGCAAGAAGCCCCGCTCCACCAGCTCCCGCATCAAGCACGCTGAGGCCCTCGCCCTTGTTCTTCAGCTTCGACTGGATCCAATCGCTGCCCAGACGCTTGCGAACCTCTCGGACCGTGGCGAGGATCGAAGCAAATGCTGCTGGCATGAACCCCGCGAGAAAGGCATCAGCTTCGATCTCGGTCATATGGTGCTGGTCTGCGAGAAGACCGACACCTCCCATGTGGCCACTCCTTCTCTTTAGCACCATTTCTGGAGATAGAGGCAATCCAGGTCCACCGTAAACACTCTCTGCAGCCTCCCTCACATGGTCCACATGCGTTCTCTTCAGAAGATCGGTAATAGGCTGCACAAGCTCCTCCTGAGGTAGAAGCAATTCAATAGGGTTTCCGTGGAAGCGACCCGCTTCGGTAAGTGGGTGGTAACGCTGGCGAGCTGACCCATATCCATATTCCTCCTCTTCGGCAGCTGTCTCCTCTTTTGCAGGCCACGATACCTCTTCCACCCGTTCCAGGTTTTCCACCTCAACTTCGTCTAGCAAGGTCTGAGCATCTGCCTCCCGCTGTTCCTTCCGGGTTTCTTCGAATTGCTGGACCAGTTTTTGCAGGGCATCGAGCTCTCTCTGACTTCTTGCCACGGATTCCACATAGGTGGGGGACTTTTCCATCAATTCTTGAGGTTCTAGCGCAGCTGGTCGAGTCTCCTCAGGCTCCAGATTGGTTTCCTCTGCCTGTGTTGCGGATTGGTCCTCCCCCGCTGCCTCTTTCGGCGGAATGTGGTATGCCACTTCCTCGTAGCGTCCCTCAACCTCCCGCAACAAGGTGGCTTCATTGTCTGGTTGCGATTTCCCCGATGTTTCCGGGAGTCCCATATCGGCGTGCATGTGTATTCCAACATCCTCAGGGTCCGTCTCTCGAAGCGGCGGTCCATATAACCGAACGTAGAGTGCATATTCCTCATCGTTTAGATAATTCTTGGGTAGGGTGTCACGAAATCGTTGCTTCGCATCTCGGACGACTTGCTCGATGGCATGGCTCGATTCGCTCGCTGCGGCCGCGGACGCCTCCTGAAATGCGCATTTCGAGGTCGAAAACAATCGTGATTGCCGTCTATTTTTTGCTTGGAATTGATCAAGGTGCGTGTAGGCAATGGAAGGAGAGTATGCTGATTGTGAAAGAATGGAGTGAGGACGAATTAGTAACCTCGTGGTGGAAAGATGCCGCTTTGAACAGGCATTCCGGATGCCCCTCGAAGAAAGCATTTTGCAAAAAGCTGTATTAAGCACAAAGAAAAAAAAATACACGAATGCCGAGGACGGGAATAAAAAGCTAGGCGTCCCTTCGTCATGGATAGCTTTTTTCGACGATGCGCGGTGGCACGTGACTACTTAGATGGAAATCGTTTTTATCATGGCTCTTATTGGCCAGCTACTGTTGAAAGCATCCCCGCAGGCTATTTAGATATGCGATCCGCTGGGGTGAAGCGAGCTCCGAATTGAAATGCATCCACCAAAGTTGTTTGACAGAGTGCTGTGCTCATGACGGCTGAGAGACCAATTTCCAGGGTAGAAACTCAAAGTTTGAGTTTCAAGGCCTGGTTGATTTGACAAGGCCCTGTCTCGACACAGCACTTGGATCAATATGGTGAGAGTGCAAGGAGGATGAAAACATCTTAATACTATCGCATATCGATCAAACAAAAGGGCAACAACGACCCTATCCTAACGCCAAAAAAAAATCCACATATTCACAAAGGAATCCTCCCTGATCATACCTCTACTGCTCGCCATCCAAATCCGCCAATGTCCTAAAGGAGGGCTTTGGAGCCGCCGGCTTACCGTTTGCACCTAGCTTTGTTGAGCTGGAACCGAGGTTCGCCCTGATATCCTGGGCTTTTCTGTGCTTGTTGAACCACGAGTTTTCGGCTGCTGCAAGCGCATCAAACTAAAAGATCAATGTTGGTCAGCATTGTCATTTCTTCACCAGCCCTCTTATGATCCACATACCGAAAATAGTGTAACAAAATAAAGCCCGATGAAAAGTACGACCATATTCAGGGCCCCGAATACGCTGAAACCTCTGGGGAGGCTGAAACCAGAGCCGCCTGCCGCCTTCCTACCGCCGCCGGCGCCGCCGAGAGTGCGCCCTGGCTTGCTGAAGGCCTCGGTGGGCTTCCCAGCCGGGGTGGTGTCAGAGAGCTTGACAGCCTTGGAGATGGCGGAGCTGAGAGAGGAAGGGTCGGCACCCTTGAGAGTCTCAACACACTCGGTGCCGTGGAAGATCTTGAACGTTGGCATCGCCGACACGCCGTAGGTCTTCGCAATAGTCGCCTGGTGGTCGACGTTGACCTTGGCGAATGCCATCTTCTTGGGGCGCGAATGCTCCTTTGCAAGGCGATCAAAATGAGGCCCGATCATCTTGCAAGGGCCGCACCAGTCGGCATAGACTATGAGATCAAACGTTTGTCAGTCCTCGGTTCACTTCGGTACCTTGGGGGGAGCTTCGGGGGAGCACGTACAGTCTACAATTACGACATTGGTGCTCCCGAGCAGGCTATGCCACTCGCCCGTGGAGCCAATACTGATAGGACCGCTCATGATGAAAACCGACGTGAAGAAATTAGATGCTGTTTCGTGTCGTGAGATGGAACCAAAGGGCCACGAGCTTGTGAAGGGACATGTTGCTTTCTCAGCCAGCCGTTTCCCTACGTAAGTTCCCCGGTTGCGCTAGGTGGCGTGAATCCGCATTTGGTAAGCGGTCAGGCACGCGATCTCCGATTCTGCCGGACAATTGTCCCGCGATCCAACTTTTTTTTTTATCAAACTTACACCGACTGGAAACTACCTCCAGGACTGACAACAAAGTCCTCGGGTCGGCAAACAACCATAAAAATGTCGTACCAGGAGCGCCAAACAAAGGTAATCTAAATTATAAATTCACATTACCAATTGGGCCAGCACAAAAAATACTAACAACAAAATAGAAGCGCAAAACCGGCCACAATGATGGCGGCCGCAGTGAGCAAAGACCATTCAAGCCGTCGCCTAACTTCGCACCTCGCAATGCTGGTCGGGATTGGACTGTTTCTGTCGCCATCCCCAGCAGTATTCTAGCCAAGTAAGGCCGCGACCGAATACCTGTTGCCAATCCCCCCCGCAAAGAGAAATATTCTAACTCTGGCTTCCTTCAAGTTTGGCGACCGCAGACCAGCGCATGTCAATCCCCGGACGAATCGCTCGCGCCCTCTCCATCTTCTCCGTGGACGAGGTCGTCATCTTTGACGACTCCGCGCCTGCCACCCGCCCTCGCGCCTCAGACCCTGCAGCATACACCGGAGACACCGACCCCTGCCACTTCCTCTCACACATCTTCTCCTACCTGGAAGCGCCGCCATTCATGCGCAAGGCACTATTCCCGCTCCATCCCAACCTGCGCCTAACCGCCCTGCTTCCTACGTTGGATATGCCGCACCACCCACACCCCAAGGAATCGCTCGAGTACGCCGAGGGTGTGACAGTCACAGGGAAGACCAGCACAGGAGCCGGGACCTTGGTGGAGGTTGGACTCGAACAGCCCGTTGAGGTCGAGGACAAGATACCGCCGTCGACACGGGTGACGCTCAAGTTTTCAGAAGACGAGGCCGAAAACCCCAAATGTGTGCACCCGGACGCCCCCCGGACTGAAGCTGGCTATTATTGGGGTTACAACGTGAGGAAATGCGGCTCTCTCTCCTCAGTCTTTACCGAATCCCCCTACGAGAATGGTTACGACATCAGCATTGGTACATCGGAGCGCGGCACACCCGCTGCAAGAGCCTTCCCGTATGGCAAGAAGGTCATATTTAAGCATTTACTCATTGTCTTTGGCGGGCACAGAGGGCTGGAGTATGCGTCAATGAATGACGAGGACTTGAATGGTATGGATGTACAAGGGCCCAAGACCAAGGAGCTATTTGATCATTGGCTCAACGTTCTTCCCGATCAGGGAAGCAGATCTATCAGGACAGAGGAGGCAGTACTTATCGCTTTAACGGCATTGCGGCATATTTGGTATTCAGACTAGTTTACCCATACCCTTAGCTGGATACCCTTTTGTTTTCCACTCATTGTTCGAATAATCTTTGACGCTGTGGCTGTCTCCATCAAACCTGGGTCTCTAATAAGCTTTGGATCAACATATTTAAGAGGCTAGAGCTAAGGCGCTATTTAGGGAGGCCTACACAGGACGGTATAAGCCAAGGGTGTCGGCAAAGGTACTGTTGTTGAGGACTGCTGGGATGAGATCTCGCCCATCTTGCTCAACCATTACCCTTGTTCCTACCGTGCTTAGTCCAAAAATTTCAATTCCTCCAGCACTATCCTGTACACTTAGAATCCTCTCCTGGCAGTGCCGAGTCGAATTGGGTCTCGAGCAGGTATGGTCATAATTGACGAAGAAAGAGTATAGCCCAGCACCGTAGATCACCACATCTCTGGACCCTTGCATTTTTATGCCCCAGGAAGATTCGCAAGGTTCAACGGACGGTCCATCGCAATCCCGATTGAAATCAGGGTCATTGAACTGCGCCAATGCTGGAAACGGGAAACGAGCAAGAGGTCGCGGTTGGAAGTATGGGCTCTCAGTCTGAAGGTGGCCCATATATATGTTCTGGGTGTTCAGAAAATGATACTGGTACATCACATGATGTTCAGAACCGGTCGCACTGAGCCAGATGCGACCTCTCTGGGACTCGATAAGTAAGCCCCGGCCGGCGAAAATAGTCAACCGCTGGTACTGATCATCCTCCAAATCGTGGTCGGCAACCCAAAACCAACAGTTTTCTGAGAATAGGCCCCCAGACTGTGGAGTGATATGCATACTCATAAACGCCGCGATGCATTTTGGGTTGATTGCGTCGTCGTGCTGGATGGCGGGACACTGCGGCAGCTGAAGATCTGTTCCTGGAAACCCGCCGATTCTCGTATGTATATCCCACATTCTAGACGGGACGCCATCTGAGAAAAGGTTGTATTCTATAAGAATAGCTCCAGCACAAGGGCCCCTGGTTGAAACAAATGTATCAGACCACTCGATGCGACCAACCTGTCCAGAAACCCCTACTTTAACGACGGGCCGAGGATTGCTGAGGTCTTGAAATCTAGGACCGTATGCCATAATTGTTGATGCCATCGCCTCGCCCACAATCCTCGAGTTGGGAGGTATGTACACGGTATCGGTGACTAGATATATTCCGGCATCGAGATGGAGGATGAGCCCATGTTCAGCAGCATACTTCAGTAACGCATTCAACGCCTGCGTGTCGTCCGATGAACCGTCACCCTTCACCCCGTATGCTCGCGCCGAGAGGAATGCAGATGCGGGAAATTCTTCATATTGCGGCTAACCTTTGATTTAGCCAGGTGTAACATAGTACAGAACATGGAACTCACCTTTGATTTTTCGTAGTACTTACCTCCCTCCAATAGCAATGGCTTGCGACTGGAGCGGAGGTTGTAAAAGCCCGTTTGGGCGAAAAAGCCAATACTATCAACGACGTGGCCCTATATAAGAGTAAGTATCGACAGTCATTTCCCAGTTTCCCCAAGGCTAGATTGTAGAAGGGCTTTTACCATGATGAAAATATCACCTCCACCTTGTTTGACGTCGTCTTCTGTCAATATAATCCCGTCGGGCCCCAGAAGAATCTTATTGACCGCGTTAAATTTCACGTTGTCCATGACTAGCGTCCCGTTGGCCCCATGGTTGTCATTGATCTTCCGTGTAGTGGTGATTGCAGTATCAGTATGGTCGAACCAGCTGTCGAGAAGGGTGATGGAGCCCGTCGAAGCCTGCTCCTCATCCATTTGGATGCCAATTCCGCAATCTTTGAAGTAGGCGCCCTTGAAAGTCCAGCCCCAGTTCCACTTCATACTGATCGCAATCTCTGAACCATAAAACCATAGATTTCTCGCCGTATACTGTTGATTGCCAAGTATGGCTGCTGTGCCACCACCGGAAAAGTAGAGGTCATTGAGAAGCCCGCCAGAGCCTTCCTCGATAAAGAGTCCAGTATGTTGGTTCCCCGGAACGGTTGATAGGAGAAACACGCAGTTGGTGATGGCGGTCGCCTGGGACGAAGGCCAGTGGATTCCAACAGCTCGAACATCAGCAGGCATAGCCGTAGTGTCGAGGATGAGATTCCGAATCTGTCGGAAAAAAGTGTTTGTGGAATTCCAGGCAAGCGAACCGCCCGGCTGGTATGGATTCGCATCAATCAACCCAAACTTCTCCTTCGGGAAAGATGGTGCCGCCTTGATCGTCGGACGATCAGTTGGATCGCCGATGAGTTGCGTGTGGTAGAAGTCGATGATGGAATCGGATATAAGGTAGGTTCTGCATCGCAATTAGCAGCCATATGCCACGCGCCGTCATAGAGCCCTTTGCCGTGACATATCTCACCCAGAAGGAAAGTAGACGGTGGCAGGGGAAACAATGCTGCCTTTGCAAAGGCCGGGGCTACATCTCTGCCCTGCTGAAATAGCGGCATTGATAGCCATCGTATCATCAGTGACTATGTTTCTGGTTAATCATAAATGGTTCGCGGATCAAGGGCCTGGTCTATGCAATACCTCCATCTCCAATTGCGCCAAAGTCTTTCACATTGCGAAATATTTGGTAAGCCGCACCGGATGGATGATATGGAGAAATGCCATAGTGTCCAATGTCCTCCAGCCAAAACTTGGCGTTTGCGATCCCCAGGAGAGCGCAAAGAATAAGAGCGCGGAGCGCCATGAGCATCGAGTACTTGGCCTCCAGCATCGGTAGTATATGTCAACCGCCTCGCGAAGCACGTCTGCGGAAGAGAAGAGGAAGGCTGAAGAAGAAGAAGAATAGTCAGGGTATGAAGAGGGTGGAGAGTAGGAGAGGCAATAGATGCGACGATGAGGTGCACAGAGTTTTGCGATCAAGGACGACCAGTCAGTCTATCGGTCAGTGGAAGCTATCCCGTCTCATGAGACTGTAAAAGCGGAACCCAGACAAGTTTGCTTTGGTGTATCCCTTCTCAAGCGAGGAAGGAGCCGCCCGGCTCAGTGGATTTGGGCCGCCAAATTGCATCATCTCAATGAGTACAAAAGGCAGGCGGTAACGACAAAGAGATCCCTTGAGGCTTCCGATTGTAGGTTCTAGATGGCTGATTGACCGATCTGTACAATCGGCACCCATTCATTCTATTGTCGAGGTCCCATTCAAAAAAAGCGGATGCATGTGGTGATAGTCATCTGAGAACAAAGAAGAGAGAACAATAGCGGGATGTGATAAGGATACATGCCTATTTAGGTATTGTTAGCTAACGAATAGAGCCATTGTTGAATGCCCCATAGCCTCTATGAATATAAAGTTGAATCACCCCTCCAAGTGTTCCCGGTTTCTCCAGTCAACGCCATCCGATGCATGCATTTCCTCAGAGGAGGTTTGTTTGGATTATGTTTTGAAAATATACCACCCATTTATAGAAAAAAAGCAGACAGTAATTATAAATGAACAATCTCTAAAGAGACGAGGGGCGCTCAGCATCCAGTGCGACTGCGCTCTTGAGGTTCTCTCCTCCCACAGGGGCCTTTCCAGCCCTCTTACGAAGGACATTCTCAATAAAGGCCTCGCCTGCCTTGTAGGAGGACCTGACTAGAGGCCCACTTGCACAGAAGAGGAAGCCCATTTCCATGGCGCGCTTGTGCCACATGTCAAACTCGTCTGGTGTGACATACTTTTCGACCTTGAGGTGTCTCTTGGTGGGTCGCATGTACTGTCCAAACGTGACGATGTCAACATTGACCTTTCTCAGTTCTACAAGTCATCATTAGCCTTTGTTTTCCACGGGGGGTGGGACACAAACTACATACCAGTGAGAGCATGCATAATCTCATGCTCCTGTTCTCCCAGACCAAGCATCAGACTGGTCTTGGTGATGATACCCTCCTGGCCTTTAACATCCTTGACATGCTTCAGTACATCCAGACTCTGCCGAAAAGTAGCTCGCCTGTCTCGTACATAGGGCGTAAGGTCCTCGACGGTCTCCATGTTGTGAGCGTAGACGTCAAGTCCACTTTCAGCCATGATTGCAACCATGTCCAGATCGCCCCTGAAATCACCCGTGAGAGCTTCAACCAGGAGAGACGGCTTCTTCTGCTTGATTTTGCGGATGGTCTCGGCGAAATGGTTGGCACCGCCGTCAGGTAGATCGTCACGGTCCACACTGGTCAACACAACATACCCAAGACCCCAACGGGCAAGGGCTTCTGCGGTATGCTCGGGTTCGTGAGGATCAAGCGGAGCGGGGGCCCGGTTGGTCTTGACACTACAGAATCGGCAGCCTCGTGTGCAGGTATCGCCCATCAACATGATGGTGGCGGTAGCGGCGCTCTTGTCGGATCCACCCCAACACTCGGAAATGTTGGGACATCGAGCCTCTTCGCACACAGTGCTCAGCTTCAAGCCGCGCAAATCCTTCTTAATCTTCTTGTAATTATCATTGCCCGCGGGGATAGGTGTCTTCAGCCACTCGGGAAGTCGCGTGATAGTCCTCTTTCGACCTTCAGGGCCGACTTCGGCGGTCCTGAGTGTGTAGGCCTCGGTTGCGGACAGAGGCTGGTTCGAAGACAAAAATTCGCCAAAAGGGGCAACGGAGGTGTCCTTGAAGTAGGTCTTTCGCCTAGGCTTCGATGCGGTGCTATCCGTCGGGTTGGCGGTGGGCGGGACGGTGGCCATGCAGCGGATTGAGGGGGTCGAGGAAGAGAGCACCTTGCGCAAAGGGGCACGAGCCCGATGCATTGAGGGGGCTATCGAGGCCATGGCGACTTTGAGCTCTACCGACGATGCCTTGGTGATGCGGCAGGCAAGTGTGAGATGATAAAATTGATGATGGTTACATACTCTATCCAGATTTCGCTATCAGGAACGGTGAAATTCCAGCGAATTCGGATGAGTACCGAGATTTGGGCCAATGAGCATGCACAGCCCAAAGCCGATGGGACCCGTAGCCACCCTTGAACCCCTCAAAGCAGCCCGAAGCTGCGGGCAGAACCGCTGTAACCCAATCAGCAGCTCTCTGTTTTCTCTGACCATGCTGGAAGCTCCCCTGCATTGCTTCCATCGGCAATTATTAATTGTCCTGTCCTGCCCGAAGCTCGGCCTGCAGCATCGGCTATATGCGCTTGGCTTTGCTTGACAGATAGGAACCGATACATATCGGCTTTCATAGGTAGGTTCTTTCGGGTATTGCATACTTCCAACTACAGGATATTCTGTACTCTCTCAAATCTATGGCCAAGCACCTCACGCCAGTCGATGTGAAGTCAGTCCACTAAACGTATACACGCAGGGGCAGAATGCAAATAATTACAAGGGCTGTAGCGTACCCATGCCGTTCCATTCTAATTCTCACGAATGCTATGTGCAATGAGACAACCTAGACGGCATGAAGGAACATGACAGTCTCAATGCTTTGCAACTATCCACAGGTGCTTCTCCTGAGTATCACCTTCAACCTCGCTCTTCTCAATTGTAAACCCGACCTGCTTCAGTTTCGCGGCCGTTTTCTCCATCCCCAGCCCACTCCAGAACATCCAACCCTTCTCATGGAGCCACGACTCCATGACACCGCTGGACATCTCATCAAATGAGAAATTCGCAATCAAGATGCCACCCGGCTCCAGCCATTCCGCAATCTTATCCAGCATCTCCTCTTGCTCTCCCTGCGGCAGGTGAATCAGGCTATAGAGAGCCACCACCGCCGTCAATGATTTGGGCGCAAACGTCAACTTGGTCATATCACCAGCTTCGAACCGCACCCGATCGCCGTACGCGGCAAGGTTCTCCCGCGCCAATCCGATCTGCGTGTCCGACATGTCATTTGCGACCACCGATATCCCGGTTGCACCTCGTTCAAGCAGTGTGGTGAGGAACGGAGCCCCGGATCCGCACCCGAGCTCAAGCACCGACGACTTCTCGTCGACGGCGGTGCCCAGTTTAGGGATCCGGCCGAAGAGCTCATCCAGGTAGGTCATCCGGATGTGGTTGTGTCGCTCGGTCCAGGAGTTGTAGACTGGCGCCATGGCATCGTAGGACGCCTTGAGGCGGGCTTTAACATTTTCAGGTGGAGTTTGCGTAGTCATGTTGCTCATTGATTCTAAAATACTCTTCACAGTCCTCTTTTAATGTCCCTTGTACAAGTGAGTGCATTTGACAGTCTGCCCTCTGGCTGGAGTTGTAAGCTGGGCGGGAGCCCATACATATAGGTGAGGGGTGTTCCCCATCGCGGCGTGACTCACGGATAGAGCTTTCAACACACAAAACAATATTAGTCCACCAGCGGCTAATATTGCGACATGATAGAACGTAATTTTGACTTTTTCTTTCTCCTCCGAACGCATGATGGATTAAGAAGAGCACGCAACTGCCTGGCAGTGCTATAATGGATAGTTGAATAAAACTTTTAAATGCATATATCGAAGTCCCACATATTATCGAGTTTAGCTTCCATTGGCCCCATTCCTGGCCTCATCTCATCAATTTCATGCTGGACAAAGGCAATGCGGTTGTGAACCCCCAAAAAAGATGCGCCAAGATGGAACAAGCCGCCAAATCTGCAACAATAAAAGTGTTTAGACAGTTCCCCAAAGAACTTTTCCGCGTCAATCGAGGGTGGCAAGTCCTCCTGCGTCCGCGGACTGGGGGCTCCTCAGGGCATGATATCATCACCAGGCCAAAAGACTTTTTTGACCTCCCGGACGGCAAGCCTCGCGTAGAGCCAAAAGCCTTGGACCCGGAAACTTACAGTGGTGCGTTGTATGTGTGTACGTATGCGGATCTAGCAGAATACTGATATTATGCAAAAGGCCCAAATGGCGCCGCAATGTTCCCGAATACAACTCATCTACAGTATTATATATTGGGGTTACTCCGCAAAAGAAATCCCGTCATATACAAAATTCAAGAAGGTAATACTTGAGCAATTCGAGAGGCACGAGTAGAAGACTAACAACCGGTCCAGGTACGAAGCTGCCAGATGAACTCCTCTTAGTCCGTGATACACCAGACGGACGGAACTGGTCGCTGCAACCAGCACAAGAGATGACTCTTGAAAGTAAGCGTCGCTGTATAATCAAAACCGCATGGCAAGAAACTAATATGCTTGGTTTTACAGGTTTGAACCTAAAAATCACACAGTTCTTAAGGGACAATGGGGCAGTGATGAATCGGTGGCAATTTCTGAAGGTGTATCCCAAAGCTACTGACCCACGATCGCCTCTGCATCCCCTTCCGAAAAATTGGAAGGTGAAGAGGTGAACGTCCGATTCAAGCGCATTGGGGGGTTAAATGAGATGTATCGGTATCCTGTGGATTTTTGTCATGTATTTTTAGGCGTTGGCGGCACAGGAGAGCATATTCAGCGGCATATTTCATTGTTTTCGGCTACATCTAATTTGTATAAATAGACTCTCATGAGCAGACCAAAAGAGCATGGTGCTATTGTGTTGTTTCACACAAAACCAGTCAGGCGACGATTAGTGTCGCTCTCAATTCAGTCCAGTGCTCTGTTCTATTAAAATGCTTCACATTCGGCACCAGGCACAATTATGAGTGTCTTGAAAACTTTTGTATATTCAATCATCCGAAACTACCAAACCGCCAATTGAAAAGAAGCGCCATCCTCTTAGAGGTAGCGAAAGAAGAGAAATGTATAATAAAGAATTGATCCCCAAACCCGTAAACTCCAGGCCCAACAATCCTGTGTCCAAAGAAGCCAGCGACTCTAGTCAAGATATGAAGCACACCTCGATAGGCCAACTGGATCCCACTATGGTCAAAATGGGTATCAAACCAAGAATGAAAACACGCCCCCTTCATATTCGCCGCTAAGATAGAAAAGAGAAGAAGAAAAGAAGAGAAGAAGAAGAAGAAGAGAAGAAAGGCCGAAATAGTCTTCATTATCTCTATCCATGTGAACCAAACATGTTGATGTAGGAAGAAAGACAAAGATGACTGCCAGAATGTGCATTGTTCCGCTCCAGCCAGCACAAATGAATAAAGCCATCCTGCAGAAAGATGCTGCTTGATCGTATCACACAGGATGGTGGGCGAAAAGAAAGCCGTCCATGTACAGCTGTGTGGTGAAATAAAACATTAAGTACTCAACTGCCTTAGGCAGACCAAATCGCAGAAGTGGTGAACTCGACTGTAAAGAAAAAAGAGGAAGAAAGGAAGAGAAAGCAAAGGTAAATCAATGCCATTGACAATTCAGTGGCCATAGAAGAAGAGGAAGAGTGATAACCAGAACGCTTTGGATACCGACATTTTCGAAATGTCTTGATGGTCGGATATGTCGTTGAAATCGTTCATCGTGGTGACAAGAAACGTAAAGGCCCATAAGATGGGCTGGCACATAGAGAAATTTGCCGAACAGTTGCCGTGCCGGTAAGCAGCTTTACATCAAGGCAACGACAATTGCACCCAAGGCACCGGCATATGCAATGCGAGTGACATCGAGGGCAGAGGCAGCTCCGCCCTGGTCAGTCGTAGTAGGCTGGGATGAACCAGAGCCGGTTGCGCTAGCGCTAGTAAGAGTAGTCAAGCCGGTGCTGCTGCTGCTGCTGCTGCCAGGAGTTGTCGTAGCAGAGGTTGTCGTCGTGGCATTGGGTGTCGTCGCTGACACGTCGGCTGCGGAGAGCGTGATGTACTTGGTACGAGTCAAAGTTGATGTGAGAGTAGTGGTAGCCTCATCTCCCTCCGCAAAGACGAAGGCAGGGAGGGCGGCGAGAATGATATTCGTCAGACGCATGGCTGCGGTTATTCGTTTGCTGTTGCAAGTAAAGGTGTGTTTGTATGAACAAGTTGATAACGCGTTGTCCTGTAGACTATGTTCGAAGAAAATTCAAAGCAGAATTCCAAATAGCCTAGCTGGTTGCTTGCTGATATCCAAGGATCAGATAGATGGCCTAGGTGATAGACGGTAAAGGCAAAACGTTGAAGTGAGAGGCTTTAGATATTCGATATCTAAGAAGGCTTGAACAGTACAAGACTGAAAGAATGTGTGAGCAGCAGCTAAGGGTGCAGAGCAAGTCAAAAGACTGGGGAAATGAAGTCCAACACGGACACACGAGGCTAATAAACAATTTGCGAAGAGGACGAGACTGGGGGAAGGGAAGGTCAAAGACGGCGCAGGATCCTGTTGCGGACGGATATGGGGGGAGGGTCTCCCTTCGGTCACTTGCATGCGGGAAGCGCCCACTCATCAATCCGCCCAGCCCAGTCTCCCACGGACCCAGCTGTTAGCGTGCCCTGGGCGATTCGGCCAACAACGAAGAGACAGGCAGAACAGAGAGCAGAGCAGCCGCTGGCCTGTCCCTGTCAGTCGTGACCTGTGACACATGGCTCAAAGGCTGAGGGTCCAAGTTCAGGTACTTGGGATGTTGGGGAAGCTAGACCAAGCGGCGGTGGGAGCCTGCCAGCGGGTGTCGTACCTGGTACCTTGCATCCAACCTGACAAGGTAACGCGGTCAGTCGCGGAAATGAGGGTCAGGTACCAAGCCCATGTTTCACTTGCAAATGGACCCAATGAGGGTCTGCCCTTAAAGGCCCGGGGCCCACTCTTTTCTTAGCAGCAGGTGCTTTAGCATCTCTTTCTCTGTTGGGTTGTCTGACAGTGCAGGGAGGGTGGCCATTGGCTCTGGGGCTCTGGCTGTTCTGTTCTTAGACGCAACCACTCTTGCGGATTTCCTCTGTGCGTCTGCCAGCGGTAGTTCTTTTTTCGACTGCCATGGCCAAGATCCATTCCTCCAAGAACTCTCCGTTCCCCAGGGCATAAGCAAAATAAACTCCCGCTTAGACAAGGCAAGCCTTATGTGTTTTTAGGAACTCCAGCCTTGGCGAGTTGTGTGGTTGCTAATTTGGGTGTGGGAGAGGACGAGAGGCGGCCTGGCCTCAACCAGGCGGCATTTTCGTCATGCAGCCTGGCAAGATGGACAAATTGGGCTGTTAGCACTACGCATCCCAATGCTCATGCGAGGGCACGCGCCCACACTTCACTTTAGCTTCAATTTGCGCGTAGAATTCGTACCTGCGGGACGGAAGAGCTCTGCAGAAGGGCTGAAGATCCTCCCTCCATTGCGCGCCGTGATTCGCCAGGCGAGGGCCATTCATAAAAAAGTCTGCACTCAATAAGGCTGCCAAGGAGACAGCCAAATTTGCATAATTTGCCCCCGCGAGTCTGATTGGTGGCCTAAGCCGTCGGGTGGGCTCCTTCCCCTCTTCGAAGCCGTGAATGGCCCCTTCCAAAAAGGTCGTAGCGTGGACGGTACCTGCATTTTGATTAGCACCACCCGCCTTGTGCCTACCGCCTGCCTTCTCAGGCGGTTCGCTGCTTCCCGGCCTGGGGAAAGCGACTGCCGTTTCCCAAACAGGCATCGACTCAGGCACACGGCGCACCCTTTCGCAACGGGCTCCTTTTCGCGTGATTTTCCCCTCCATCTTCCCTGTCCGCATGCCAAAAGACTGGGTACAGAAGAAAGCCTGGGCGATCACCACAACGGTCGGCCTGGATACACACATCGATCCTGTCGACTGCCGGTGGACAGTACAGCGGTGGGCGGAGTCAGTTGACCTGACACTTGTTCGCCCTGGCGCCGAGCGTCAGTCCAAACGCAACACGTCTCTTGTCCCGCTGCCCAACTGTTTCAACCTCCAACCAGCCAGAAACACGTACGCAGGTTAGGTCGGCGCCTCGTGCGAAAGAAAATTCTGTCTCACGCTCTTTGGCCCGGTCAATGGGCTAGAGCCCCACGTTGACACGCCAGGTCTAATTCCCCCCTCACAAAGTCGCCATCACGCCAAGGCAGGGCCGAAATGACGTTCCTCCACCATCAGACTAGGCGACGCGAGCGAGACACACGAAAGGACAAAATGGCCATTCCGCTTTGCCCAATCTTGCTTCCGCGCTGTGTGCCTTGTTGACCGCTTGCCCGTGCGCTGCTCCACAAAGCTGAGGTTCTACATAGTACAGCAGCCGAGCCCAGATCATACTCTCAGCCGCACAGGATGACTGCTTTTCACGCCGGCCAGGACAGCTACTCTCCATAGCAACCACAGCTACCCGCGCATTAACCCCGTTCCTGCTGTGAGCCGAGCCCTTACTTGAAGCCGGGCAGTTCATGCTGGGTGGCTGTACATTCAGGGCTGACTGAGTACGGCACCCAGCGAAGGTGCGCCTATCAATCTCTAAATCGTCTCAGAGCTCCTAGTACTTGGCATGTCGCGTACACTATTGAGGAATAATGAGGTCCATTGGTTCCAAAGAGGTGGACGGAGGCTATTCAAAGTCCCAGACACGGCCATGCATGTTTTGCCTCAGTTTTGCAAGACAGCTCTGGGTCTGTGCCATCGGACGAACCCGGGCTCCTGCATTCGAAACGCGTGGATCTCTTAGGTCGTTCCCTGTCTGAGCCAACTTGCATATGTATGATCCAGTCGTGCTTGGGCTGAGCATCGTCACCGCTCCACTGTAGTATGGCCAAGAAACATGCTAATGCTAAGCGTGAAGCTTCTACTCTGTAAATAAATCCCACGTGATGGGCAGCATGAGATGGCCACCGCTCTAGTACATGCCAAATGCAATATCAGAGAATAATGACGGCGACAAGTTCTATCATCTCAATGGTTGCAAACCGAGTTTGGACTGCAGTCCCCATCTGCGACTGTCCTCTGAGCACTGTCATCGCTACAAGAGTTTCACTACTGTATCATTTTCCCAACCAATATTCGGCAGTGTACCCATGCCATAGTAGTAGAATAACAAGCCTTGTCGGCTTCTTTGTCGTATTCTGGGACTTACTTCTCTAGTGAGTAGCTTTCATTGTTTTATGAATGTAGAGGGGATGGCTTGCTCGTATGGGGGCATAGGTTCAAACAAGTCGACATTACTTCCGATTGGATCTCATCCTCTTTCTTTACAATGTAATGTAAATCAGGAGCGAGACCAGTGATCTGGGAAGCGAGCGCACCTTGATTTCGCGGAAGCCAACGATATCAACCCGGCGAGGCTCCGAGATATGACCCACCTAACCATCGGCCGTTGATAACATTTAGGCTTGCTCCATAACATTTCCGGGCCGCACACCTGCTATTGGCAATAGTGGGCGATCACGGCGCAGCTGGTCTTATCTACGTCTGATATCTGGTTGCGGATAGGTTATCAAGCAGAGGTTTTCCTCCGTCAAGCTCAGCATACGGCTGTGGCTTGACTACCGCTGGGTCTCCGTTCTGATCCTTCGATCCGGTACACAAGACAGCTTGGAACCCCTTCTGGTAGAATAACTAACGGAGAAAAAGACACTACCTTACCTTTAGACGCATAAGCCATCATTGGCATTACCATGCCTAGTAAGCATAAAATGAGCTGCATAACATGCATGCAGTGTAGATATGGAAGGCTCCCAACCGCGTGGATGGCAGTTGAATGACGCGTCCTCTGGCAACTCTCTCCAACTGGGGAACATCAGCAGGGTTCATTTGCGGGTGTTTGAGGTGACGGCGAGCCTAACGGACGGGACGGGGATCAAGAATGTTCCTCTATCCATGTCTGCCCTACACAGGCTGGGGACCAAACAAGAAACGGAATCAACGTACGTTTTGTCAGGGTCCAGATAGCACACTGATTCGGTGCGGACGAGAATGGCCTCGACTCTTGGGCCCCGGAACTGCCATCATCGTCAAGGCACTGGGAGGTGACGAAATAATCATGACAATGCAGCAGTTGGATAAACGTTTAATGTCCTATTTGAAGTGATAGTTTAGCATTCGTCCCCGGCAGTCCCCTAAATAACTCTTGATTAGCATGCGCAAATACCCACATATCAAACAACACTTCAGATATGTTTCCACAATATCGCGGGAAATATATGTGGCGTTTGTCTTTTTAATCAGGGCGAAGCTATGACATTCTTGGACAGGAAGAAAAATCCTCAACGCCGTGACGAAATAGGTTGGGTAGGGTCCATGAAACAGGGGACCAGCCTTGAAACACCCGGGCACGCGACGATGGTAGTTTACCACCTGTGGGACCCAACGTCGACGGTGCAATCGACGTCGTTGGCTTGGTGAGCGGCATGGGCTTGAGCTGCAAGCTCTTTCCAGGGCGAGACATGGATGGTGGCCGGTGGTCGAGCCATGTGCGCCAATCTAGCCTCTTGTTGGCGATATCAATCTTGGGACTGTTACAGACATGATTCACGACCTTTTTTCAGATGCTGGTCCAAGCCGAAATCCCCGGAAGCAACATCCAAGCAGTTTCGTAATTAATGTGACGATAAATGTCAATATAAAGGAAGGAAATGAATATTAATTCCGATCCTCGCGCTGCTGCCCTTTTGGTAGCACGCAGCCAAAGACCTGCCTGTTCCAGGACAGGAATATTCAATAAATCTCCAAGGCTTGCCAAGCTGCGCAAAGGATCGAGGTCACAGGCACGGACCGGCGGGGTCCCACGAGCATGGATAGAAACGTGGAGAATCAAGAAATCGATAAAAAACCTTGGCCTCCAAGGGCTCGCTCGTATCATCCCTCCCCGGCGGAAAAATACTTGATTGATGAAACCTGCCAGGGCAAAGCACATGGGTCGCCGCCGACGTGCAGGAGGTCAGGAACCATCGCAGGAATCCAATCTTTAAACCCGGATCTGACGATTGAAGAGCTGCCCCTTTAGATGCATGGACGATTGCGAACCATCGAAAGAAGGACGTCGGGAAGTCTAGGCCTTGGTCGGTATTTGCGCTCGCATCCTTGCTC